CACTCCAGCCTGGGGGACAGGGTGAGATCTTGTCTCCAAAAAAAAAAAAAACAATAAAGCAAAGTTTAAAGGTCAACAGTTTTACATCTTTATACATCAGGAAATAAAGAGCTAATAAGCTTTCTAAAAATGACAGCCATTAACTTTACTTTTTCTATTTAATTCTAATAGTATAACGAGCTTCCATGTTCTCTTCACCAACTTCAACAACTGTAAACTCATGGCCAATCTTGTTTTATCTATACCCTCACCCACTTGCCTCTTTTATTATTTTGAAACTAATACAAAACATCATATAATTTCAACTGCAAATATTTCAGTAGTTATTCCTAAAAAAATAGATTCTGTGTATTAATATAAAATATGAAGTCAGTGTTCTAATTTCCAATGATCTCTTACAACATGTATGTGTTTTAAGTTGTTTGAATAAGTATCCAAATTATTCACCTCTTTGTTGGCGTATATGTTTATATATGTTTTATGTTTTGTTATTCTTTGAGACAGAGTCTTGCTCTGTCATCCAGGCTGGAGTGCAGTGGTACGATCTTGGTTCACTGCCACCTCCATCTCCTGGATTCAGTAGATTCCCGTGCCTCAGCCTCCCCGGTAGCTGGGATTACAGGCATCTACCACCACACTCGGCTAATTTTTGTATTTTTAGTAGAGACAGGGTTTCACCATGTTGGCCAGGCTTGTCTCAAACTCCTGACCTCAGATGATTCACCCACCTCAGCCTCTCAAAGTGCTGGCATTACAGGCATGAGCTACCACACCAGGCCCATTATTCTCTTTTAAGATATAGGTTCACTCCCCATGTCTTTTTTTTTTAAATTATTTTCAGTTTATTTGTTGAGGAAATCAAGTTGTTTGTGGATACTATAGTTCCCCATCACCTAGATTTTGCTGATTACTCTCTATAATATAGCTATGTGTTCTTCTCTCCTCTGTATTTCCTAGAAATTGACAATGGGAGGTAGAGGTGGTTTGATTTAGTTCTTTTATTTTTTTGGTGTATCCTTTTATCAGGAACTGATAATGTTTGCTTGACTCTCCTTTTTTGATGTGAGCAGGCATTGACACTCAATACCTAGACTCCTTAATGTTTCAACTAAAATTTAGAAAGTCTAAACCACAAATTTTAAATTGATGTGGCAAGTCTAATTGAATATTCACTAATCTAACAAATCTCTTTAATGTTACAAACACTTAATTATCCCAATGTTTATAAAACTTATTCCACAAATTGTTTTTACCAAGAGTTTAGCTTATTCCATCATGTCTGTATTTAATTCTGAATGTCCCAAGGATGAAAACGACTCTAAAGGAAACAAGTGTCTCATCATGACCAATTTAATGAGTTAATTAACAGGGCCTTTATACTTACTCAAATAGAAAGCTAAGCATATATAGGTTAAATTTTTGAGTTTCTATTTTTGAAGTGACTTTATTAGATTAACAGACTCTACCTATGTTTACCATCTCAGGTAGAGACTGAGATAGATATCCATGACAGTTCTTCCTGAGTTACAGGTGTATCCATTTTATAGTTTTAGTGATAAAAAGGCACTTCCAGCCCACATTCTTCAAATAGGGTTAGTTTTGCAACCAGCATCTCTTCTTCAAGTAATTGTCTTTCCTAAGTCTTTAAGGAGTTTGACTATTGGACATGAGAGTAATATAATCATATTTTTGTGTTAGAAAGATGGCAAAAGCTGGAGAAGGGACTCGCAGGATAGGGAAGAGAAGGAGTCATTCTGATTACAAGAACACTGACCAGATGGCTACTGCAAAAGTTGATTCAAGAGATAATATAATCCAATTTTTGTGTCTAGCGGGAGAGGGGAAAATGGAAGAGGGAAGTGAATTAGTATGGGGAATTTAATGATTGATTTGACATGAGACTGAAGATGAGTGAAAAACAATGAATGAGTTGTGGTGTGATGGGTATGTGAATTGTGGTGCCATCCAACAAGAAAAGAAACCTAATTGGGAGAGCAGGTTTAGGCTGGGCTAAAAGGGAGAAACCGCAGTTTCTGAGATGTTAATATAGAACTGGCTGTAGGACACCCACGCAGAAAAGAAACCTGGGCTAGAGATTTCAGCATGGAATTTGCCAGCACTAAGGTCATATATAAAGCTGTGGAGGTATAGAAATTCATCTAGGAAAAACTGCAAAGTGAAGAAAGAAGAGAACCAAGACCAGAACACAACATAACATCATCATTTAAAAAGAAAGTCAAAAGAAAATAAACCACAAAGAAAATTGCGGAGTAGTGGCCAGAGAGACAAGAAGTGAGCCAGGAGCTATTTGTCATGGAAACAAACAAAGAAGACTCAAAGAGGGCAAAATGGCCCATACCGTCAAAGGCCAGAAAGCAGTCGAGGAAGATGCAGTCTGAGACGGTTCAGTGGACTTGGTAGCTAATATTTTTAAGAATAGTTTCAGGGAAGAAGTGGCAATAGAGGAAAGATTGCAGTGAGAGAAGAAATGCGTGGAAGGAGAGGAAGTCGAGTCAGTGAATAAAGACAACTTTTTCTTAGCTTGGCTGGTTAAAGGAGGAATATCTTATGGTAATGTGAAGAATTCACAGAGGTAAAGTGAAGTGTTTGTGTCTTATGGATGACAGTAACTTGGGCTGAGAGAGAAAACAAAGCATGAGAGATTTAAGGGCAAAGAGTGAAGTAAGAAGAATATAAGTAATAAAGCAACACATGGAAGAAAGTGGGTAATTGATGGAGTAAAATTACTGAGAATTCAGATGAAATTCAGAACACAGGTGCAGAGAGTAGGGAGAAGGTAAGGATGGGTGTAACTGCAGATGAGTTTGTGGGTTAAGGAAATGTATTTTCTCAAGAGAGTTCACACCTGACGACCTGTTTAATCAGTGAAATAAGAAACAAGGTCATCTGATTATAGGGAAAAGAGAGGAATGGCAGACTGAAGAGAGTAGTAAACATTTTTAATAGGTACGGAGAAGGACAATGCAAGAGAAGGCTGACTACAAAGAAAGAGTGATGAGATTATAGGAGAGGGAGCTACAGCTGAGATTGAACATCAATTGTTTGTAATGTCCAGAGTCAGTAAAATTGGCAGCAATTTTCTCCAGCTGTGTTTAGGAATCAACTTGGGAGGAATAGAAAATATAAATGGTTATATACAATATTAGGGATTTGTGGGGCCCAGATATTGATAATGCTATTAAGAGCAGTTGGAGTGAAGCCATTGGAATGAAACACCTTGGAGGACAGGGCGATAAAAATAAAGCCAAGAAGAAACCAACTGGAGAAAATGAAGGAGTCAGGGATTGGAACTATATAATTTCCTCTCTCTCTCTCTCTCTTTTTTTTTTTTTTTTGTGAGACAGAATCTTGCCCTGTTGCACAGGCTGGAGTGCAGGGGCTCAATCTCAACTCGCTGCAACCCCCACCTCCCAGGCTCAAGTGATTCTCCCACCTCAGCCTCCTGAGTAGCTGAGATTACAGGTGTGCACTACCATGCCAGGCTAATTTTCTGTATTAGGTCAGTGCAAAAGTAATTGTGGCTTTTACCATTCATTTTATGGCAAAAACCATTAATTACTTTTGCACCAATCTAGTATTTTTAGGAGAGAGGGTGTTTTGCCACGTTGGCCAGAATGGTCTGGAACTCCTGCCTTCAAGTGATTCATCTGCCTCAGCTTCTTCCCAAACTGCTGGGATTACAGGCATGAGCCGCAGTGTCCAGCCCTAGATCTAATTCTCTTTTGTATATGTACCAAAGAACCAATTGAATGCCCTCATAATTTCAGAATTTAAGTGTTAATTTACTGTCAATTTAGTGAAAAGCATATTACCCTGTCAGCGACCTTCGTGGTCGTCAGATGATGGGGACCGTCCGGGACGGGTAGGCACGTCTGCCGGAGGTCTCGACCTGCAAGAGGGTCCCAATACCTGGAAGAGAGTGTGCGCTTGAAGAAATATGAAAGAGACAGAGAATAGAAAGACAGAGAACGGGGATCTGGAAGGCTGATAGGCCGTACCTAAACAGCAAATTTTATTTTTCAAAGACCAGGAATAAATACACTTTCTTTGCTCTGGTTTACGTCATTGCAAGAGGAAATGCAAATCTATACCTTCCATGGCCTATACAATAGAGAAATCAGATATGCAATCAGTGGTTGTAACAGAATTTCCTGTGATCACAAAGCTTGTTTACGTCCAGACATTATTCCTCCTGGCTGCAGGTATCTCTGGTTTGATCTTGTTTTAGAACTGAGATGTGAAAAGGTTTTCTGGTTTTGCTCATCAGAATATCTTTTAACCGGATTCTCCTTTGTCTACTCCTGACTCAACTTAACTCAACTTCCCCATTCAGGAGTCTCTGAGTCAGGGATCAAAGCCATCCAGTATGGTGGCGTTTGCTTTGCAAATATCCCAGCAGTTAAACCATTATCTAGGGTACAAGGCAGTCAGGCAAGTAAAGAAAAGGTTAAAGCTTATTCTTAAAGAAAGAGTCATTAAAAAGGTTAAAAGCGGGAACTGGTTGCTGGCAGGGGGTCACTCGGTCTAGCAGCACCGCATAGTTTTAGGCCCAAACAATATTGTGGTTGATATTAGAAACTGATCATCCATCTTTAAGTTCCTTTTTTCCCGATAGCTCGACTGCCTCCAGTAGGAAACTGTGTTTGGGATCAAGCTCACCATATAGTGAGACTCACGCCTTTTGGGGGTCTCACATGGGAATGTTCCCCACATTACCCCCCAGAAGCAATGGATTAATTGTATAAGCCTATTTTAAATGAATGATGCTATGCTCGTTTCCCAGTTCTCCATTTTTTTTTTTTCCACAAAAGCAGCATAAATATAAGGCTAAAGCCTATGCTAGTGATGTCTGAAGCCTTAAATTGGGGCAAATGTTCAAGAGAAAAGAATAATTCTCAAAATAATCCTTTTTCCCTTTTTCATTGTAAGGTGAACACCTACTTGTTCCATGTTCACTATTTCCTCTTTCTTGTTTTCAGAAGTCCTGTCAATGAAGATAATCAAGATGGTGTCATACACTCTGATGGTAAATAGCAAAACATATTTTATTTGTAAAATCAGGTACAGAAGTTTGAGCTAATCTTTTTTTTTTTTTTTTTTTTTTTTTTTGAGACAAAGTCTTGCTCCATTGCCAGGTGCCAGGCTGGAGTGCAGTGGTGCAGTCTCAGCTCACTGCAACCTCCGCCTCCCAGGTTTAAGCAATTCTCCTGCCTCAGCCTCCCAAGTAGCTGGGACTACAGGCGTGCACCACCATGCCCAGCTAATTTTTATATTTTTAGTAGAGACAGGGTTTCACCATGCTGGCCAGGATGGTCTCGATCTCTTGACCTAGTGATCTGCCCTCCTCAGCCTCCCAAAGTGAGCTAATCATTCTTATAGGCTCATTAATGAGTCATTATCATCATTGGTCTGTGCAAGACCCCTCTCTTGTTTTATTTGTTTATTCCTTTTCATCCTCATGACTCACTTCCTTTATCCTTGTTTCTGTTCTTTCCTACAGACAAATATTCTAACAAATTTAACATATTTAATGTGTATGTGTGTTTGCACAAATTCCTCACATATTGTGACATGTATGCATGTATTTAGTTCACATAAAGAGTATATTATAGTTTTCTCTAGGTTTTTTGTACAATCAGCATAATGCGGTTTTGGGGCCCATCCATATCACTGTGTTCTGTTGCTGTTAACGACTACACAGTGCTCCATGGTATGCATCCACATTTCACTGGTACCACAAACAACAATGCAATGCACCTTCTTGTATTCATCCCCATATGGACCTCTCAGAGACTTTCTTTAAGATATATAATGGTTGCTCAGAGCTGTGGAATACTTATGTGGACTGAATATGACCAGCATGCTCTCCAGAAGAGATCCATCTATCTACACTCTCATCAATCGGTCCCATTATTCAGTTTTTCATATTTTTCTTATATGTATCAAATTATGTCTGTCTCTCTCTCTCTCTCTCTCTCTCTCTCTCTCTCTCTCGACAGAGTCTTACTCTGTCACCCAGGCTGGAGTGCAGTGACATGATTTCAGTTCATTACAACCTCCTCCTCCTGGGTTTCAGCGATTTTTTTTTGCCTCAGCCTCCTGAGTAGCTGAGATTACAGATGCATGCCGCCATGCCTGGCTAATTTTTGTATTTTTAGTAGAGACAAGGTTTCACCATGTTGGTCAAGCTGGTCTCGAACTCCTGACCTCGTGATCCGCTCACCTCGGCCTCTCAAAGTGCTGAGATTACAGGGGTGAGCCACCATGCAAAGCCGTCTCCTTTTAATTTCTAGATCTCTGCATACTCTTGAGTTTGAGCACTTTATTTGCATATTAGTCTTTGTGGTTTCCTCTTCTGTAAGTTGCCATTTTTTACCTTTTGACCATTCTTTTTCTTGGGATTGGTATATTTTTCTAGTTGACTTGTAGGAGTTCCTTTATGTTACAGACCTCAATGTCATGTCAACTTCAAACAATGCAAATATCTTCTCCTATTCAGCCTGTTGTCTATTAGCTTAGCTCATGCTGTCCTTCATTGAACATAAAGTTTTATATAATCAAATTCATTAGTTTTGCTTTGTAATTTATGCTGTTATTTAAGAAGTCCTTTTTCCTAGAAAATAAAAACGTTCTATTTTTTTTCTGTAGATTTTATCACATACCTATATTTAGGTTTTTGATCTCTTTGCAGTCCCTTTTGAGGAGCTGGTCGAAATCCAGAATTGTTACCACATGTATGGAGCCAGTTTTCTCCTTACTGTACTGTAAACAATCCATCCTTTTCTCATTAATTTATAGTGCTACTTTTACATTGTATCAGCTCAATGTGTGTGTATGTATATATTATGGCTGCTTTAGGTATATTTGTGTATGTCACTGAATTCTCTGCTCTATTCCATTGATCTATTTGTCTGTTCTTATACCAACACCACACTGTTTTTATTACTGATATTATTATATTATTACTCAATATTAGATCATGTTTCAATATTCAGTAATTATTTTTGATATTACAATGAACTCTTGAGCATTAAATTTTTAAATCCAATTAACTTGATTTGTTTGATACATAAAAACAAATCCTTGGGAACTAACAAGTAAAAAGGTGTGAAACAGTGATTTTTTTAATACATCATGTTCCATACAAGCCCATGAAACCAAAGGACATCTCTTTTCATAAAGGGAATAGTGTATTAATTATTTCTTGACCTTTGCATTATTTTATGAAAGCCAATAAAATGATTTTATAATTAAGTCACCAGCATCAAAAAAGCCATATTAAAGATCTAAAGTATATATTTTATTTTTTATTTCTATATCTTTGCTAAAACTTAAGTTCTGTTAGATTATGAACTATTTTGAATATTATTATATTATATCCGATAATCTTATATTAAAGTGCTTCCTTATTACAAATGTATTAAATTTTATTTTTTTAATCTTTTAGGTGCCGGAAATCTTGATGAGGTCAGATTTCTCTTCTTCTCATATTATATTAATATAATTAGAATATTTAACAAGTATTATGATTCACTCCCTATTGGTACAAACCAAAACAATGAAAATTCTTATGAGTAATTTTATTTTTCCATTTCTAATCTTATTTCATCTAAAATGCTTAAGACATTACACACCAGTCATCACACTGACTCATTAGAATGCTGTAGTGCTGAACATAAACTTAAGTCTGACTGCACATCTGATTTATATAGCAAGATAGAAAAAAAAATCTTTCTGTTTTTGCTTTCCCAGTCTTTCTAAGGAGAAAAGGAAATATTTTAAGCAAGCCAAACTTCCATACACTTAAATTACAAAACTGACAAATAGCTGTTTTACTGAGTATTTGAATTATTCTTTCAAAAATAATCACAATATGGTTCCTTTAAATATTTATTCCTCTGGAGCATTTAATATGTGGTTCAAATTTTAAAAATCTATATTTTTGCCTTTATTTTAAGTCTAAGAAATGTAGTATGTGTACGTTAACTTTTTAAGTAATAAAAATTAATCATCATCATGTTTTTCTTTACAGGAACAAGACAGTGAAGGCGAAACATATGAAGACATGTATGAATTACATTTTTAACCATGGCAGTTTTCTTCAAAGAAATATAATATTTTGTGTGAGGGAGAGTGGGTATATAACACCACTGGGGGGAAGCTTGAATTGTTCAAATGACTAACATATAATAACTTTTATTTCAATTTAAAAGACCAAAACTTATTTAGTTCTCTAAGAATTCTACAAAGGATTCTATTAAAAGGCTGTTGTGTGAGAGGCCAGAGACGTGCAGTCTATGCGATAAACCACAGGCAGGGAATCGGAGACAGGAATCTGGATTTCTTACTCTTAGTGTATCCTTGGGCAGATGAGTTAATTTCTGTTACACCTTCTTCACCTGAACAGACCTCCACCCACAGGGGGGCTATGAAACATAATTTATCATGGAGCCCAGATGCCAAAGTGTCTGTTGGTAAAGTGAAAAGATGTTAAAAAAAAAAAAAAAAAAAAAAAAGAAGGTTTTTGGAAAAGAAATTTCTTGGAAAGTGGATGAAAGTAGAAATGAATATACTATCTTACTTTATTATATGTTGATCTCAGATATCTTAATTTTTTCTACCCAATAATTATTCAACCAATTCTGACTCAAGTTTCTGAGCCAAGGTTTACATGTGTACCTGTGAATGCACAGGCATGTGTGCATATGAAAGAGAGAAAAAGAGATGGATTCTATTTATGCCAACATACAACAAGAACAGGGCCTTTATAAACGGTGGCTTCAACTTGCTGGCACCAGTTGTCAGGGAAAGCCAAGCCTCTGGAAGGTAGCCTCAGCTGTGTGCCTCCTACTGGTTTTAAAAATAATCTCACACATTCTGGATTTTGACAACCCTTGGCTTTTTACCTTCACACATACTTCAGATACCACCTTTTCTGTTGTGAGTAGAAACTTCTAGGTAGGGAGCTCTGATGCATTAACACCTGCTGATGTGAAAACAACCTTACAATTTTTATTCATAGAGAAGCATCCAAAGAAAAAGAAAAGAAAAGAGAAAAAGAGGAAAAGAAGAGATTAGAGCTGGAGAAAAAGGAACAGAAAGAGAAAGAAAAGAAAGAACAAGAAATAAAGAAGAAATTTAAAGTAAGTGCTTGCTTGCTGATGAGTGAAAGAGTAACGTCTTTTTATACCTTTCACCCAAAAGGAGTACCATTCTGGAAACCTTGCATAGTTGAAGAATTACTTACTCATTGTTTTCTAAAGAGTAATTATCTTCATAACAGTACTTTTTTGTCCAATACGCCATCTTATCCCTGAACTAATATAATAAAATTTAAATAAAATATGGTGTTTTATAATTAGTGGGCTCCCAGGAAATTTTATGTTGATTGAGTGAATGAATATTTGCTTCTTCAAACCCATCTTGGCTCTCCCCATAATGCATTTCTTATAATATAGCCTACTTATACCATGAGCTTAGCACCACACACAAAAATATCCCTCTGGTTTGTTTTATAGTGGGGCATTGAACATAGATGTCCCCAGGGTGAACCAGACCTGTCTCAGAATAAGATTTCCATGAACTGCATTGCTAGAATCTAAACCTGATTTACATTTTTGCCTTTACTTTAAGTCTATATATCTGCAGACTTCTGATACCCACTGCTTCTCATCCCTCTTTGTCTATCTGGATTCTGATCTCTGTATTCTCTGATCTCTGGTAATTGTGTGTCTTCTACCATTGCTACCACCAGTAAACACTACTCACTGGCTATTTTCTCCTGGCTACACCATCTTTGATGGCATGGCTCATCCGCCACAGATTATCTGAATTACAAAATTATTCTTTCAAAAAGAATTCATAGTATGGTTTCTTTAAATATTCCTCTGGAGCATTTAATATGTGGTTCAAGTTATAAAAAATTTGATTTATATATGACTTCCCAGTATATTTACAGTATTAAAGCAAAGGTTCAATCAATGCGTGTTACAGGGAAAACATATAGCAGCAAGTCAGTTAGACACACTGAATCAAATCGTAGTTGTACATACAAGTTATGTGATCTTGGGCTTTTCACTTAACTTCTCTGAGCCCCTGATTCTTAATCTTTTTTTTTTTTTTTTTTTTTTTGAGACAGTGTCTCGTTTGGTTGCCAGGCACCAGGCTGGAGTGCAGTGGCACGAGCTTGGCTCACTGCAACCTCCGCCTCCCGGGTTCAAGCAATGCTCCTGCCTCAGCCTCCCAAGTAGCTAGGACTACAGGCATGTGCCACCACGCCCAGCTAATTTTTTTTTTCTTTTTTTTTTTTTTTTTTTTTTTTTTTAGTAGAGATGGGGTTTCACCATGTTGGCCAAGATAGTCTTGATCTCTTGATCTCATGATCTACCCACCTCAGCCTCCCAAAGTGCTGGGATTATAGGCGTAAGCCCCCACACGTGGCCGTTTCTTAAGTGAGAATAAATGACACTACTCCAGAAAGTTTGTTACAGAACTAAAATAATACACAGCAGGCACTGTATCATAACATTCTCATTTGATTTTGAAAAAGCTTGCTATATACAAGTAAAATTATGATTACAACATTAATATTAGAATATTTTACTCACACAAAATGCATGACTACCACTGTTTATCTTTTTCAAGTGAAAAATTCATTTCAATTAATTTATGAAAATCTATATAGTATACTTTCCATGAAGAGATTGTTTGTAGATTTAAAGGAATTATTTAAGGTTTTTCTATATGTTTCTTTTGGAGAAATCAGTTTTATATTACCTCATTCATTCAAGTAATATTTTTAGTCAGAAAAGATAGGGTGTGGAAATCATACCATTAAATATGAAGTCAAAAGTTTGTCAAGACTAGGACTTCACCAGCTATATTCCTTCCACAAGATGTTAATAGATAATAGGCAAAAAATTAAATAAATATGAGAACTGAGCCTCATCAACATCATGGCATACCATAACTTAAATTCTTTTCTTTATTTCTTCATTGTACACCATAATGATATCTGTTTACAATTAATGGCATCATAAATAAAGATAGAACTTCTTAAAAAGTCATAATGCATATTTTCATATCAGAAGATTCAAGAAATTCTGTTGTAGACACCAATTTAGGATTAGAAAATTAAGAGTTTAGGATTCATGGTCTAACCAAGATCATTACTCTTCTACCAATAAGCCACTATACTATTCAGAATATTAATTTTTAAAACCTCATGTGATATTTGCTTGCTATTTTTTGATTGGCAAGCCTCTTTCTGAAATGTTGCCATGTTCATAGCAGGTAATGTCTGCTCCAATTTTACAAACAGGCAGCTACCACAAAGTTAAAAAAAAAATTAAGAGGATAAGAAAAAAAAGGAAATGCTTTTCCCACAAGTACAATCCAGCACCACCATCTGATCTTCCTTTTGATGTTTTAGATCTGCAGAGATGCATTAGAATAACTACACAATATGAAGGGGAAAAAACTCCATCTTCCAAACAGAATCCTGGCATATTCCATAAAGACAAATAGCACACAGCATGGATTGTTGTACATAAGTGCTATTCAGCAATGGGGGGCTGCCTTTGCAGGCCTCTTACAGAATTCCTAGGTCAGCAGATCTCTGCCTCACTCCCCTGACCCCTGCACATGTTAACCTGTTCTTAGCTGGTCCTCCTTAGCCTCCGTGGTTTTTCCCTAACCCTTCCTATAAGAAAAACATTCACCTTCAATTTCTAGTTGAACCCTGTAAATGTTGGTTATAGGTAGGTGAGCAAGTTGCAGGCTTTATTATTTTGCAAAATTCCATTCCTTAAATATTTTCTAAATAGTAAGGAAATCTTTTTATTTAGAATTTTTAAAATAGAATGTAGGCTTACATATAAAGTTCGGAATCTTTGTTTTTTTTCTCTTTGCAGCTAACAGGTGATTATTTTTTTCTCCTTGCAGCTAACAGGCCCTATTCAAGTCATCCATCTTGCAAAAGCTTGTTGTGATGTCAAAGGAGGAAAGAATGAACTGAGCTTCAAGCAAGGAGAGCAAATTGAAATCATACGCATCACAGACAACCCAGAAGGAAAATGGCTGGGCAGAACAGCAAGAGGTTCATGTGAGTGCAAATTTCTCTACAGCTTCAAAATGTTTTCTTTGCGAGGCAATAATCAATGTGCATATTCCTTCAGAACTCCTCGTAGGCATCGAGTTAGGAGTACTTTACAGGGTGGACAAAGGTAGAAAACTGTTAAATAGCAGGTAGAGTTCCATCTTCACCTCATCTGTGTTATCTTTCTTGTGGGAAATAATGTAAAGTTTTATACTATTCCAGGAGGAATGAACAGCATTGGGTTTTTCATTGATGTTAAAAAGAAAAACTGCTTCATGTGAATCACTTTAGAACCTTTAAAACAATGTAGGCTTACATTAAACTACAACAGGAACAGACTTTGACAGACTACAGTAAAATGTGGGTCTACCTGGGAGGTCTGTAAATCAGAACTACAAGAAAATAAATCAAGAGAGAGTTTAAAGAGCAAATGTGCAATTAATATTTTATTCACAACTTTAAACTATTTAAACTACAGTTGCTTGAACATAAATCTTTCCCTTTTTGGTAGATGGCTATATTAAAACAACTGCTGTAGAGATTGACTATGATTCTTTGAAACTGAAAAAAAACTCTCTTGGTGCTCTTTCAAGACCTACTGAAGATGACCAAGAAGTGTACGATGATGTTGCTGAGCAGGACGATGTCAGCAGGTATGTGCAAGTATGTATTGTAGAACACATCAAACCGGCTCCTTGGCAGAGATTTTGTATTTTAAGATTCTAGAATTTTACCTTTCATATTTCCTACTGCTCTCTATCACTAAACTAAATGACCACTTACAGTAATCCCAACATGGTTGAAAGGTCATTTGAAACTCCGTAGTGTTTCTATATGATACGCTTCAAATACTACTTGAAATATAGTGGGCCATTTGCCAGATCTTATAAAATGTGCTGTCATTCTAAAAAACTTTTATAATGTTTATGACTTGATCTTAGGGATATGCCTAATATAAATATGATTTGGTGAAATATGAAGCATAAAATATAAAATTTACCCCATTTTTTGTCTGAAATCTCTGATTCTAAATGTTTGTTATTTTTGAAAAATATATCCAAAAAATGACTTTCCTTGCAACCCCAGTTTGCTCTTGAAAAGTAAAAACTCCATTTTTTATGATCCCTAGGTATCAGTTAAGGGTCCAACTTTTCATGGCCCATTTACTCCACTAGATTAAAGTGACCTTCACTCCAAGAATTATGGGAGTACCTTCCTGGTATAGGGGAACAGAAAAGAACATCTTTTCTGGAGGACCAATGAGAGGAGATGGGCCATCCCTCCCTTGTACCTCTCCTTCTCTTGTTTCCTTTCTCAGTCTGCTGCTTCCTTTCTCTCTCCATCTCTCCTCTTCTTCTCTTTGTTCCAGCTCTGATTTTCTCTTGTTCTTTTATGTCTTTTGTACTTTTCCATTCCCCTTCTCCTTTCATTCCTTCTTTCCTTCAACACCTCCCTTTCAGTTAAAGCCATAATCATCTCAAGTTGAAAGGAAAAAAGGAGGAAAATCTCTAGCCCAGTTCAAAATCTTTATTTCTTTTAATGACTACCTTATAAAACTAGAAAACCTCCATTGTGATCCCAAAAACCATAATCTGTGCTAGCTCTTCACCTGGGAAAAACTGTGTCTGCATTCTTCATAACTCAGATTTCAAAGGAAACAATGTTAATTGTCAGCCATTTCTAAAACACCAAATACAGATATAGTAATACACTTATAAAGCATATGAAGAATTACATTTTCCTCTTATGATCTTTTGTATCATGGTATCAGTTAAACTTGTTAGTGTCTTTCTAGTAGTTTTGTCTTTCTAAAATGAATTATAGCCTGCTATGCCTTCTTACCATGTTCTAAGCATAAATTATGCAACATATATCAAAATATACAATGAATGCACTAGAGTTTGGAAATCATTAATAGACTTTAGTCATAAGAAACACATTGACCTAGTGTGAGTCAGTAAATGCCAGTTTTGAGGTCAGATGAAATTCCAGATTGTCATATTCTGTAATTTCCAGAATTTGCTGGATGTAAGTATATCAAGTATATTACCAATGTATACACTTTGTGTGTGTCTTTGGTTTTTTTAAAAGCACATTTCTTAATTTTTGGTGAAAGATTTCCAGTTACATTAATGAATGCGTATTCACACTGATGTGCATTCTCAAGAAAAAAATAATAAATCCAGGAAAAAAATGATGTTCTTAAAATGGAACCTTGTTTAACCATGTTGGATGACTATTTCCCAAAACTAGCATTATCACCTTTTTCTGTTTTATTGAATCCATACATACCATAACTCTAAAAACCTGCTCCAGTTTAGTAAACAAGTAATGGAAAAAAAATCTTTAGTAAAAGAAGAAAGTTGGAAGAGTTGTGTGGTTTTAACACTCAATATTTTAAACAAGTATAGCCCCACAGTATATACTAGCATCTGTCCCTCTCTCATGCACCCTTAATAGGAAAATTAAAGAAGCCATTTCTATACATGTTTTATTTTTGAGACTGCAGCTGCTGCTGGCAGAGATCTCATAACAGAACATACTTTGTTCTTAGAGAAAGGGAAGATGCTGAGTGTAGCCGGCAGCTTGCCCTGGCAAGAATAAGAAGAAAAGGCATCATCTTCTTCTCCCTCCTGCTCATGACTCCTGGCTCAGGCACTCTACCGGCTCTTTCCTGTTTCCCTAGAGTGAAGAGTGATGGCTGTGAGTGCTTGAAACTCTAGGAGCAGACTTGAGGTTTCAGAGCACAGCCCCTGACAGCTGTCCTTCCTTCTCTTTTTCTTCTCCACTAAAACAATATCTACAGTGAATATGAAACATTGAAGAAAAAAGAATTGCAAATGTAAATACCCCTCTTCCATTTCATAGCAAACCTTCTTCCTTCCATGTATCTCTCTCTCTCCCTCTCCTCTCCTGTCCTGCCCTGCTTTCTCTACCTCTTCTTCGCTTCATCAAATATGTTACATTCTAAACAGGCCATTTTAGGAAGTGAATAATTGTTCTAGAAATGAAATAAAACAGGAGTTTTGCTCCTGATTCCAACAACCCTGTTCTTTGGAAATTGGTATAAAAATCCAAGATGAAAAGTATCTGCCAAGAGTGGCAGCCAGGCGGAGTGCAGCTCTTCACATCATTCCAACTGCCTGCTTCATGCATCATGCTCAGAGGGAAGAGTCAGGAAACATAAATGTCAAAATGGCACATAAGCAAGTGGAGAGTGTACTGCAACTTCTTCAAAAAGCAGTTCCTCATTTATGTAGGAAGACATTTATAGCATGTTTTTCTACAAAGTCCCTGACAGCAACTTTATGTTTTTATTTCAAATTTAACAGGAGATCTGCATCAGATCAATTTCTTTCACTCATTTTTAACATTAGGAAATCAGATATGAGTACTATATAATTGTCCACTAAGACGCTACCATAAACGGATATCTGTTGCCTGCAGATTAACTAATGTGGAAAACTTGCGGTATAGTTAGTGCAGCTAGGTGTAAAAGTGGGAGTAATCAAGTCAATTTCTCAGAGCCTGGTTTCTTTTTTTTCTTTTTTTTCTTTTTCTGAGACAGAGTCTCACTCTGTTGACCAAGCTGGAGTGCAATGGCACAATCTCAGCTCATTGCAACCTCCACCTCCTGGGTTCAAGCAATTCTCCTGCCTCAGCCTCCCAAGTAGCTGGGACTACAGGTGCACGCCAACACGCCCAGCTAATTTTTGTATTTTCAGTAGAGACAGGGTTTTACCATGTCGGCCAGGATGGTGTCCATCTCTTGACCTCGTGATCCACCTACCTCAGACTCCCAAAATGCTGGGATTATAGGCGTGAGCCACCGTGCTGTACCTGAGCCTGGTTTCTTTTCTGTACAATGAGGAAATTGAAGAGATGACTTCTGGGATTTCTTCCATTTTCAGAGTCTACATTTCCTTTGCTCTCACAGAACTCACATTTTAGTGGGAGATATAGGCAAGAAAACAGACAATTATAACATACATGCTAAAGTAGAGAAACTATAGGATGTTATGGAAGTAAATAAGCAACACAGGCAATCTGAATTTAGAGATGAGTCATATCAAATAAAAGCCCCATGAATGAAATTTCAAGTTTTAAAAAGTTCTCCCTTTAAAAAAATGACTGCTATTACACTAAAGTAAAAAGCTGTGGTCATAAGATATTAAAAGATAATGGAATTTAACGGAATGATAATTGCTCTGTGTGACTCTTGGAATAATATCCTTGGAGTTTGTTTTAATGGTCCTTCTATGGATTGATGTAATAATGTATCATCTGAAAACAATCACATAGGAAAATGTCAAAAGCAAACAGTATCGTCATTTTCAATATCATACGTAGTGCTGTAATTTACTTAATTCTTGTTGTTTTTGTTTGTGTTGTTTTACTGCCTTGTCATTACTCATCTACAATGTTAAGAAATGTCTTTTCCTCTTCACATGTAATATTCTAAGAACGTTCATGTAATATTCTAAGAACTTTCAACTGGAATGTTATTTCTCTTTTGAATAACTGATGAGGAAATGTACTTCTCTTCTTCATAGCTAATTAATTCATAGATTAATTTAATATTTTGGGTTTTTTTTCTAGCCACAGTCAGAGTGGAAGTGGAGGTAAGCAAACACTTTTTAAAATTCCATTTTACAATTGATACATATATTTGCATATATTTATGGAGCCCATGTGATATTTTATTCCATGCATAGAATGTGTAATGTTCAAGTCGGTGTATTTAGGCTATCCATCATCATGAGCATTTATCATTTTTATGTGTTGAGAACATTTAGAGTTCTCACTTCTGGCTATTTTGAAATGTACAATGCATTATTATTAACTATAGTCACCCTACTCTGCTGTTAAACATTAGAACTTATTTTTTCTATCTAACTGTGTGCTTGTGCCCATTCACTAATCTCTCTTGATGTCCCCCAAAACACATTCACACCTGTCTCAGCCTATGGTAACCATCACTCTACTCTCTACCTTCATGAAATCTACTTTTTTAGCTTCCACATATATGTGAGTACATGCAATATTTGTCTTTCTATATCTGACTTATTCCATTTAATATGGTCTCCAGTTTCATTCATGTTGCTGCAAATGACATGATTTCATTCTTTTTTATGAGCAAATAGTATTCCATTGTGTATATACCATGTTTTCTTTATTCTTTCATCCAGTGATAGACAATTAGGTTGATTCTATATCTTTACGACTGTGGATAGTGCTGCAATAAACATGGGGATGCAGATATCCATTTGATATACTGATTTCCTTTTCTTTGGATAAATATCCAGTAGTGAGATTGCTGGATTGCGTTAATAGTTTTATTTTTAGTTTTTTTGAAAAATCTCCAGAATATTTTCCATAATCACTGCACTAATGTATATTTCCACCAACAGTAAGTGTTCCTTTTTTTCCATATCCTTGCCAGCATTTGTTATTTATTTTTCTTTTTGATAACAGCCATTCTAACTGGGGTAAGATAATACCTATCTCATTGTGGTTTTGATTTCCATTTCCCTGATGATTACTGATATAGAGCATTTTTATGATATACCTGTTGGCCATTGTATGTCTTTTTTTGAGATCCTTTGCCCATTTGGGAATTTTGCTGTTGAGTTGATTGAGTTTTTGTATGTTCTGCATATTTATCCCTTTTGGGATGAATCATTTGCAAATATTTTCTCCCATTCAACAAGTCATCTCATCACTCCGTTGATTGCTTTGCTATACAGAAGCTTTTAGTTTAATATAATCCCATTTGTCTATTTTTGTTTTTGTTGCCTGTGCTTTTGGGGTGTTCATCATAAAATCTCTACCTAGATCAGTGTGTTGAAGTGTTTTCTCTATGTTTTCTTCTTGTTGTTTTCTACTTTTAGGACTTACATTTAAATTCTTAATCTACCTTGAGTTGATTTTTGTATATGGTGAGAGATGGGGCCTAGTTTCATTCTTTTAAAATATGGATATCCAGTTTTCCCAGCACCGTTTATTGATGAGGATTTTTTTCCCCAGCAGTGTATGCTCTTGGTGACTTTTTCTAAAATCAGTTGGCTATAAATATGTGGCTTTACTTCTGGGTTGTCTATTCTGTTTCATTGATTTTTGTTTCTGTTTTTATAACAATGCTATGCGGTTTTGGTTACAACAGCTTCGTAATATAATTTGAGGTCAGGGAGTGTGATGCTTCCAGCTTTATTCTTTTGCTCAGGATTGCTTTGGCTATTAATGCTCTTTTTTTATTTCATACAAACTGAAGGATTGTTTTTACTATTCTGTGAAAAATGACATTGGTATTTTGATAGGGATTGCACTAAATTTGTAAATTGCTTTGAGTAGTATGGTCCTTTTAACAATATTAATTCTAATATATGAGCATGAGAAACTATGCACTTTATCAGTAATTTTTCCATAAGTCTTCATTATGTTTGTGTATATTAATGAAGAAAATAGTTTACAAATAATGAGAGCGATCTTAATACGATGGAAAGAACACTAGCTTGGGAGTCAGTGAACTGAATTCTAGTCCTGGCCACCAAGTAGCTCTGAGCAAGAAACTCTTTAAGTTTGTTACAGATCATATGGTGACTCTACTCCAATGTGTTCAAGGCAGTCTTGATTTATACCAGTCATCAGACCACAATTTTTTTTTTTTTTTTTTTTGAGACAAAAGTCTCACTCTGTCACCTAGGCTGGAGTGCAGTAGCATAATCTCCTCTGGGATTCAAGTAATTCTAGTGCCTCAGCCTCCCAAGTAGCTACTACACTCAGCTAATTTTTGTATTTTTAGTAGAGATGGGGTTTCACCATGTTGGCCAGGCTGGTCTCAAACTCTTGGCTGGGCATGGTGGCTCACTCCTGTAATCCCGGCACTTTGGGAGGCCGAAGCAGTTAGATTACCTGATGTCAGAGCACAATTAATAACAGCATTCTCCTTCACTTTCAGAAGTGTTTTTGTTTGGATGATAACCTATCAAGTCACCTTGACTCTAGTTCAATGGCCCTTATATTTCCCAGCAACAAAATAAAAGAGTTGATCTAATACTTTGCAGTGCTAGAATCTTCATACTAAAAGTCAAATTTCAAGGTCATTTTACATATTTCCTGCACATAGAAAGTACTCAATAAACAGTTGTTAAGTAAAATATCTGTCAAATAGCAAGTTTCCTGAGGAGCATAGAGTAACAAATGAAAGGAGAAAGAGTTTAACTTTCAAAAATAGGTATTTTAAAAGTCACTTTTCACTTCTTTTTGTTTCAACTACCATCAATGTTTACAAATTCACCTTTCATCCATTTGCTTTTCACTTGTATCTTGATTAGTATCTTCCTAAATTTCTCTTCACTATTAACTAGTTAGCTAGATTTGTGTCACCTCCTCACATCTCTTTCCACAATAAATATTTAACTCCATCTACTATTTAAGTTTACTTTTTCTCATGTTTATGCAACCTTATTCCTTTCAATTCAAGTCCTCAGTGCCTCTTAGCCCTCATTTTGTTTTTGTAATTTCAGTCCTAAGAATTCTTTATAAAATGATCAACAAAGTAATTAATTATGGAATAGTAGGAAAATAAAGATTTTTATCTAAATGGTTTATATGAAAGTGAAATGCTCTCTGCAGTTAAATAAGGACAATTTATAATTAAAATCTGAGTGACCATTACATGACCAAATTATAAAATTAACAGAAGATTTTCCCTCAATCCAAATGAAGGGATATTCCCTCCACCACCAGATGATGACATTTATGATGGCATTGAAGAGGAAGATGCTGATGATGGGTAAGAATAATTAGTGAACTGCTTTCTGAAAATTATTATATATATATATGAAATTTAGTTTTGATTTTCAGTTAAAATAAAAAGCAGAAAATAGTGTTCTTTCTTATATTACCCCAAATGATTTGAATGTTTAAGTAACAGCAATTGTAAGCCAGGAAGTGTAATTACAACACACATCAAATGAAGTGGTTGATTGTTTAGAAGATCCTCAGTAACTATGGCAAAAGAAGTCAATGAAAAAAAGATAAATTACAGGTGTCGTGGATATTTTTTAAAACCTTTTCTAATCAAGTCTTTATTCATCAATAATTTACTTTTACAACAATCCCTGAAGAGTTTATCAGTTGCATGGCTATCCCTTGTGTTATAACATGATTGTAATGTAGGTAACCCAAATAAATTGAGACCATATGCTACCTGTGGCAGAACCAGTACTGAATACTTAATCCTTTAGCTTAATAAAACATATCTGTTCATTTATAATAATTAGAACAATTCACAAAAATAAAAATATTTTAGGTAATAAATTTTCTTTTCCATTTTAAATGGCATATTTTAAAATTTAAGCTCTCTTAATTACTTCGTTTTAATCATAAATAAAGCAAAATTGATGCTTAAGCTTTTGTGGTTTTCTTTTCTGAGACCAGGGCTCACTCTCTTGCCCAGGCTGGAGTGCAGTGGTAGGATTACAGCTCACTGCAGCCTCAAACTCTCAGGCTCAAGCAATCCTCCCACCTCAGCCTCTGAGCAGCTTGGGACCACAGGTGTACACCACCACACCCAGCTAATGTTTTTTATTTTTTGTAGAGATGAGGTCTCACTATGTTGCCCAGGCTGGTCTCAAACTCCTGGGCTTAAGCAATCCTCCCACCATGGCTTCCCAAAGTGCCAGAATCACAGGTGGGAGCCACCGCACCCAGTTGTTTAAAACTTAATCATTATGGGCTTGTGTCACATTTTAAGAAGTGAGAGAATTCTCACTTAATAGAAAAAAAATTATCAAGATAGTAGAAGCATTATTCAGTCATCATGATCTATAAGCTTAATAACACTATCTTGTTCAATACAATGGGTTGTTTACTGCCTGAATTATTAATGGGGTGTAATTATAAAGAATCTAAATATCCACAAAATGTCTTCACTTGTCACTGATTATTACATTCTGATCAATGCCTGCATGCTCCAAAGCTCCATGCTACAGGTTCAAGAGAAGAGTAACACGTGGTCCTGGGGGATTTTGAAGATGTTAAAGGGAAAAGATGACAAAAAGAAAAGTATACGAGAGAAACCTAAAGTCTCTGAGTCAGACAATAATGAAGGTTCATCGTAAGAGTCAACCAACCAAATCCAGTATACAATAATTACACTAATATTTATTAAATCAAATGCTACTAATATTCTATAACCAATAACCAAATTCTAGTAGACTTAAATCATCTTAATGTAGTTTTCCATTAATCACCTTAGCCCCATTTATGGTGTCATCTTTAAGCTCATGCACTACATAAGAGAAGGCCAAGTACTCAAAAATAATTATACAGTTTAAAGATATACTTTATTTTCTTCACAAACATGCACAAAAACACACAAGTACACATAAGTGCACACATACCCTCTCACGCTCATGCACACAGTCATACACAAACACTGACATACACATTTAGTAGGACTTTTTAAAATATAGCATTTCATCTGAAAACTCACAATTCCAATGCCACATTTTACTATATAGTATTTTTTTATTGAATACTCTTCAAAATATGCATTCTTTTTTAATAATTAGTTTAAAATAAAGAACATGATTTTGAATTTTTTCTTTAAATATAATAATTGAAGCCTTGTAACTCTGTTCCATTATATAATGATATAATAATTAGTTTTCCTGTACTAAAAGTATTCTAAATATATCAAGTTTGTTTAAATAAAATCTAAGGTATAACTTTTCTCTGTCCAGTCCAAAAATAATGCTGTAGTATAAATTCCATACACATGAATTTGAAAGATCTTAATCACATTCCTTGGTAAAAAGAAAATCTTTCAGTTTTTATTTACCTCATGAATTCACCACATTTAGCTGAAGTCTTTATAAGATGTTAATTCCGTATAGCCTTCCCAATTGGGTTGTAAAACACCAAAGCAACAAGTCAATACACGGTACACCTGAAATTCCAGGAAAACACAAGAAACCTTCTCTTCTCTTGAGCAACATTACTCAAATATATCCCTTACTTAAAAATAAGAGACAGAGCTTTTTTTTCCGCTTCAATTACACCCAAATCTGATTTGGGATTATTTGAATTAATAATTTCTCACACTGTATTCTAACCAGTCATTTCTGTCCCATGCACCATTCTTTCCGTGATGTGTGTGTGTGTGTGTGTGTGTGTGTGTGTGTGTGTGTGTGTCTTGTATTTAGAAGTCATGTTTCAGGAAATAGAAGCACTGGTGTTCTGTTGCAGCTAAATGCCACCTAATCCTAACTTCAGATCACTTTAATTAATAAGTTCTCACTCTCTGGTTTAAGTAAATATTTCTCTTATTCACCATTTTCCTGTTTGGGGGTACATATGCAAATACTGGGAAACATGGTTATATTCCTATGACCTCTGTTAATTTTGAGTCTGTATTGCTGCTTCTTAGTTCAAATAAGCAGTTTGGAGGCAGAGATATGTATGCCACGATGACTCCAAAATACTGAGTCCCTTTTATTTACTCTGGTGTGATAATATGCCCAAACTTCATATAAAAAAAAAATCTGGAAATTTTGGGCCAATGACTGTGGGCCAAATAAACGAACTGATTATCTCAACTCTGGATGTTTTGGCAAACATTTGGGGTTAAAAAAATTTCCTTTATTTATTTATTTATTTATGTATTTATTGAGGTGGAGTTTTGTTCTTGGAGTGCAATAGCAAGATCTCAGCTCACTGCAACCTCCACCTCCCGGGTTCAAGCAATTCTCCTTCCTCAGCCTTCTGAGTAGCTGGGATCACAGGCGCTACAGGCATGCTCCACCGTCCCCGGCTAATTTTTTGGTAATTTTTTTTTTAGCAGAAATGAGGTTTCACCATGTTAGCCAGGCTGGTCTCTAACTCCTGACCTCAGGTGATCCACCCACCATGGCATCTCAAAGTGCTGGGATTGCAGGCCTGAGCCACCGCACCCGGCCCAAAAAGTTTCTTGCTAAATTCCAAATTGATAAACTTAGTGGAGAAATTAAGGGTGAGAAAGAAAGAATGATCAACAGATTAATTAACCTAATATGCCTCCAGGCTGTTGCCTCTTTATACTCTCTTATATAACGGAATCAATTTCTGTGTTCACATTAGTCTGATTATAATTGTGTTCTTACTTTCTTTGTAGTTTCCCTGCTCCTCCTAAACAATTGGGTGAGTAATAATAACTAATTGTATGTTCTGTATCTTTATTTCTTGCAGTGTGGTAGTAGGAAAGCATTGGATATAATCACAGTATGTGCATTAAAGTCCTGACTCTGAAAATAATAAGTTGCGTAACCTCAAGCTAGTAACTTCACCTTGAGTGGCCACAGTTGCTCAATGATAAAATAACAAGATGAGAAAAATAAAAAAGACTGATAGTTTTGTTTTTCCTTTTCTTTTCTTTCACCTCTACCTAGAAAAATAAGACTGACAGTTTTTAAACTGTTCTTCCAGGATCAGGAGTAGCAAATAGCGGCTCCTATGGAGTTAGGGATAAGTGGGAAGGGAAGGGCACCAACTTTCCCTGTGTCCGCCTGCCCCAATTCAGTCCAAATTTGATACATGAGACTTCTGCATAAGGATATCTATACCCATGCCAGATTATATGCCAGTAAGTCTCTTCTAAATCTAATTTCTTTGGATATTTAAATGGATAGTTTATATTGTGTTTGGAAAATGTGAAATATAATCATTTCTTTATACAATTTCAATCAGTTATTATTTTTTCATCCCTTCTGAGACAGATCTTTAGATGTTTTAAAAATTTACTTTGAACAAAGTAAAATTTTGTCTCAAGAATATTCAAGGGCTTTCAAAAAGTTTACTTATTTTAACTTATAAGTATATTAAAAGAGCAAACCAACACAGAGGTAATCTATTTTTCTAGACCCTTTATCTGATATTAGAACTTTCTTTTCAGTTATCAATTTGAAAATATGTAAGAGACCAAATAAAACTGATCAATGCCTGATAATCAGCTTGTATTCTAGTCTATAGTATTTTTAAAGTATTCAAAAAAATTAACGTATTGACAAAAAGTAGCTATAAAATGGAACAAATGTAATCAATTCTGTAAAAAATAAAGTTTTGTTAGAATTGCTTGTTGTTCTTAATGTGGACTCAGGGAGAGGAGCATCACACCTGGGGACAGTCGGTGGGGTAGGGGAGAGACAGTGGGGGGTGGGGAGGGAGGGGACAGTGGGGAGGGATAACATGGGGAGAAATGACAGATGTAGTATGCACCTAAAGTAAAATAAGTAAATTTAAATTAAAAACAAAAAAAGAATTGCTTGTTGTTCTTAAATGTGTTTTAAGTGCATGTGCACGGAGTAATAGCTTTGACTCTTCTAAATGACATTTTTTAAAGCATTATTTTTCATGCAGCTGAGCAAGTTTTATCCTGTTAAATTAGTTAACCTGAATACACACACAAGGGAGGGGGACATGCGGGTGGGATTTATAAAGGAAATCAATTCCTTGCCACTACCAGAGAACATTTAACCTCTTTATGGTAACGACTCTTTAAAATATTTGCAATTTCTTCGATTCAATCTCTTCAGCTTCATTGGCTGTACAGCAATTGATAGGTGCAGAGAGGAAGCATTCTTCCTGACTTTACTAATAAGAAGCTTTGAAGGAAGAAAAAGCTCTAATGACTGGAAAAGTCACTGAAGCAGTTAAGGTCATGGCAACTTTTCTGCCGATACTGTACTGTTTCTCAATACCTGTTTGTATCAGAAGTATTTAATTAAAAGAAATAATCTTTCCATTTAAAGGCAGTGCCACACCTAATATCACTGTAAGGTAAAAGGTAATGGCAAACAGACCAGTGAGAGGAAGGAAAGAGGGAAGGAAGGGGAAGGACATTTAAATAGGATGATGTATATTATCACAGCCCCCTAAATCCTACCAGAATCACAATTCGTATCTCTGCTTCATCCTGCCAATGGCCAGTAATGTGGATTTATTTATCAGCAATTTGCCACTCCTGCCTTTCGTTGTACTTGTAGATCTCCAGGTAATCTTAGTCACTGTGCCATGAGTTTTGTTCCAGATAATAATGATTATCGTTATGGGCACTGGTTTTTTGAGGATAATTTAATACAAACATTCTGGCAAATAACAACCTCTCCCCTTTCAGAATCAGGCAATGCTTCCAGGAGAAATGTACCAAGACGCTAGGAAAACTTCTTTTATTGTTCTTAAAGCAATCTTTACATTAAAAACATCATTGAATGCTCATATCAAAATCTCAACTAACAGTGTTTCAACCTTTGACATTCTGCCTTTTGTTAGACATGGGAGATGAAGTTTATGATGATGTGGATACCTCTGATTTCCCTGTTCCATCAGCAGAGATGAGGTAATTAAAATGCTTGCATTACAACGAAGTGATGAAAATGAGATTACTCAAGAAAATTCAACTGAAATAAAAACCCAGTGGGATGTGTGTCTACTGTGTGCGATGACGTTGGCTCTGGCCTTCTCTCTAAAGCTGTTGTCTTCCCATCTCAGCTCGGTTTCTTCCCTCTCTGCTAGGTTTGTGAGTACATAGCCCCAGTCCTTTGCTCCCACCTCCATCTCTTCCTTCCCTCCTTCTCTTCCATCTCCCTGGTTTTGTTCCTTGTTTCCTGATTAGCCTTGGGCCTGTGACTCACTGATGTCTGGTTCATTTATTCATTTCTTCACTGGGAAAATATGTTTAAGGTCTTGGTCAAAACCAGTCTCACAGATTCTTCTTCTCTCTTTGTTTTTACTGTTTTCCCCAAACCTTTTTTTTCTTGATTACACTTCTTAGCTTACATCTCAGCACTCACCCATCTTTTTCAAGCTACCTCTGTCTTCTGCAGGATAGTTTCCTTTATGAAAAAAAGAAAAAAAAGATTGGTTTTTTAAAGGGACTTTTAGGTTGGTTACATTAAAGTCTTCAAAAACTACGTTTAGCCTAAAATCGTGTAAAATCAAGTAAGATAAAGTAATACAAAACGAGTACCTTTTGGAATTGTTTTTGAAATATAAAATAACATGGTGGGATGCCTTCTCATAACCCAATAAATACATGAAATGATTTGATACATACTGGGTATAAAAGCAAGAGCACCTATATAGCTTTTTCAAGAAAAAAACGATGACTCAAAAGATCTTGTGTTTGATTAAAGGATTAAAGTAACATAAATGGAATGCAGTAAGTGGTGTCTTCTGAGCTGTACTGGTAAAAATGCATTAGTAAATGCTAACTATTTATTTATTTTTTTAACCAACATTTTTAAACTAATTTTATTGGACTACGGAGAGTATCAAGATCAAAGACTCTGAAGGAAAAATATGTCATAATTCATATACGAAGATCAAGTTCTGCAGGCAAAACAAATAAGAACCATGAAAGGAGAATTGTTGCCCTGTTTTCAATTCTTCATGAAACAAAAATCTAGTCTTCAGTAATATGTTCAAGTTTTAATATTTCTCGCCACTGGCATTTTAGTCCTTGATGGTTGTTAATGCATTTTTTCACTTTACATTACTGTGGAAATGCCATCACATTCTGTAAAATACCTCTCCAGGAACCCAGAGTCACACACTAGCCGTATTCTTCAAACAAAATAAACCCCAGCTGACTAAGCTTTATGTGATATGGACAATTTTCTTCCTCTTTTTGCTTATTTTCAGAATTTAAAGCAAATTTATGTTCTCTAATGTCATATTCTATTTTTAAATAAATTTCAATAAATTTTTTATTGCATTTTAGGTGTTGGGGTACATGTGAAGAACATGCAAGATTGTTGCTTATGTACACACATGGCAGTGTGGTTTTCTGCCTTCCGTCCCCTCACCTGTATCTGTCATTTCTCCCCATGCTATCTCTTCCCACCTCCCCACCCCCCGCCCCTCCCCCATTTCCCCCCAACGGACCCCAGTGTGTAGTGCTCCCCTCCCTGTGTCCATGTGTTCTCATTGATCAACACCCACCTATGAGTGAGAACATGCAGTGTTTGATTTTCTGCTCTTGTGTCAGTTTGCTGAGAATGTTGGTTTCCAGGTTCATCCATGTCCCTACAAAGGATGTGAACTCATCGTTTTTGATGGCTGCGTAAAATTCCATGGTGTATATATACCACATTTTGCCTATCCAGTCTATCATCGTTGGGCATTTGGGTTGGTTCCAGGTCTTTGCTATTGTAAACAGTGCTGCAATGAACATTCGTGTGCACGTGTCCTTATAGTAGAATGATTTAAAATCCTTTGAATATATACCCAATAATGGGATTGCTGGGTCAAATGGGATTTCTATTTTTAGGTCCTTGAGGAATCGCCACACTGTCTTCCACAATGGTTGAATTAATTTACATTCCCACCAACAGTGTAAAAGTGTTCCTATTTCTCCACATCCTCTCCAGCATCTGTTGTTTCCAGATTTGTTAATGATCGCCATTCTAACTGGTGTGAGATGGTATCTCAATGTGGTTTTGATTTGCATTTCTCTAATGACCAATGATGATGAGCATTTTTTCATATGTTTGTTGGCCTCCTGTATGTCTTCTTTTGTAAAATATCTATTATATCCTTCGCCCATTTTTGAATGGGCTTGTTTGTTTTTTTCTTGTAGATCTGCTTTAGTTCTTTGTAAATTCTGGATATCAGCCCCTTGTCAGATGGGTAGACTGCAAAATTTTTTTCCCATTCTGTTGGTTGCTGATTCACTCTACTGACTGTTTCTTTTGCCATGCAGAAGCTGTGGAGTTTGATTAGGTCCCATTTGTCTATTTTGGCTTTTGTTGCCATTGCTTTTGGCGTTTTGGTCATGAAGTCCTTGCCTACTATGTCCTGAATGGTTTTGCCTAGATTTTCTTCTAGGGTTTTTATGGTGTTAGGTCTGATGTTTAAGTCTTTAATCCATCTGGAGTTAATTTTGGTGTAAGGCATCAGGAAGGGGTCCTGTTTCTGCTTTCTGCACATGGCTAGCCAGCTTTCCCAACACCATTTATTAAACAGGGAATCCTTTCCCCATTGCTTGTTTTTGTCAGGTTTGTCGAAGATCAGATGGTTGTGGGTATGCTGTATTTCCTCTGAGGCCTCTGTTCTGTTCCATTGGTCTATATCTCTGTTTTGGTACCAGTACCATGCTGTTTTGATTACTGTAGCCTCATAGTATAGTTTGAAGTCTGGTAGTGTGATGCCTCCTGCTTTGTTCTTTTTGCTTAGAATTGACTTGGCTATGCGGGCTCTCTTTTGGTTCCATATGAAGTTTAAGGTGTTTTTTTCCAGTTCTGTGAAGAAGGTCATTGGTAGCTTGATGGGAATAGCATTGAATTTGTAAATTACTTTGGGCAGTATGGCCATTTTCACGATGTTGATTCTTCCTAACCATGAACATGGAATGTTTCTCCATCTGTTTGTGTCTTCTCTTATTTTGTTGAGCAGTGGCTTGTAGTTCTCCTTGAAGAGGTCCTTTACGTTCCTTGTTAGTTGTATTTCTAGGTATTTTATTCTCTTTGTAGCAATTGTGAATGGCAGTTCATTCTTGATTTGGCTCTCTTTAAGTCTGTTACTGGTGTATAGGAATGCTTGTGAAGAGGGAATCCTTCCCAAATCATTTTATGAGACAAACATCATCCTGAGACCAAAACCCGGCAGAGACTCAACAAGAAAAGAAAATTTCAGGCCAATATCCATGATGAACATAGATGCAAAAATCTTCAATAAAATACTGGCAAACCGATTACATATCAAAAAGCTCATCCACCATGATCAAGTAGGATTCATCCCAGGAATGCAAGGCTTGCGTATGCAAGTCCATAAACATAATTCACCACATAAACAGAACCAAAGACAAAAACCACATGATTATCTCAATTGATGCAGAGAAGGCCTTTGACAAAATTCAACAGGCCTTTATGCTAAAAACCATCAATAAACTAGGTATTGACAGAACGTATTTCAAAATAATAAAAGTTATTTACGACAAACCAACAGCCAATATCATACTGAATGGGCAAAAACTGGAAGCATTCCCTTTGAAATCTGGCAGTAGACAAGGATGCCCTCTCTCACCACTCCTATTCAGTATAGTACTGGAAGTTCTAGCCAGAGCAATCAGGCAAGAAAAAGAAATAAAGGGTATTCAAATTGGAAAGGAGGAAATCAAATTGTCTCTATTTGCAGATGACATGATTGTATATATAGAAGACCCCATCATCTCAGCCCAAAATCTCCTGAAACTGATAAACAACTTCAGCAACGTCTCAGGATACAAAATTTCAATAAATTTTTAAAAGATAGCTTTTAGGTGACGTCTAACTTTCATGTATATTCTGATTGCCCCAGAGAGCTAATCTGGGGAAGTAATTTCACAAATGCCCAGACTACCATAGGCAGGCAGTACTGAGGGCAGACACGAGACCTAAGGTAGATATTGTACTAATTCTTTCCACAGTGAATGAACTAAATGCTAAGATTCCAAAATTGAGAATTAAATATTTAAAATAAATTGGTTACAAACAAAACTTTATCTTAGACCATCTAAATAAAAATTTTTGTATTCTAATTTTTAAAATGCTCACTGAAGAAATCTACAGCCCCTCCCTACCATCCATAATTTAACCCTAGTGAATGGTTGTCAATCTTGGTTACAAATTAATATCACCTGGGAATCTCTTAAAATATGTCCATTACTACCTGGACCCTACTCAAACTAAGTTAAATTTTAAAATTAATTAAAATTAGAATGTCCAAACATTGGGCAAGAGCGGTAGTATGCTTTTTATTATTATACTTTAAGTTCTGGGGTATATGTGCAGAACGTGCAGTTTTGTTACAGGGATATACACGTGCCATGGTGGTTTGCTGCACCCATCATCTCATCATCTACATTAGGTATTCTCCTTATATTATCCCTCCCCTAACCCCCCACTCCCTGAGAGGCCCCAGTGTGTGTGATGTTCCCCTTCCCATGCCCATCTGTTCTCATTGTTCAACTTCCACTTATGAGTGAGAACATGCAGTGTTTGGTTTTCTGTTCTTGTGTTAGTTTGCTGAGAATAATAGTTTCCAGCTTCATCCATGTCCCTGCAAAGGACATGAACTCATCCTTTTTTTTATAGCTACATAGTATTCCATGGTGTATATGTGCCGTATTTTCTTTACCCAGTCTACCATTGATGGGCATTCAGGTTGGTTCCAAGTCTTTGCTATTGTAAACAGTGCCACAATAAACATATGTGTACATGTGTCTTTATAATAGAATGATTTATAATCCTTTGGATATATACCCAATAATGGGATTGCTGGATCAAATGATATTTCTGGTTCTAAATCCTTGAGAAATTGCCACACTGTCTTTCACAGTGGTTGGACTCATTTATACTCCCACCAACAGTGTAAAAGTGTTTCTGTTTCTCTACATCCTCTTCAGCATCTGTTGTTTCCTGACTTGTTGTTTCCTGACTTTTTAATGATTGCCATTCCAACTGGAATGAGGTGTTATGGTTTTGATTTGCATTTCTCTAATGACCAGTGATGATGAACTTTTCTTTATGTTTGTTGGCCACATACATTTCTTCTTCTGAGATGTGTCTGTTTATATCCCTCACCCACTTTTTGATGGGGTTGTTTTTTTCTTGCATATTTGTTTAAGTTCTTTGTAGATTCTGGATGTTAGCTTTTTGTCAGATGTACAGATTACAAAAATTTTCTCCCATTCTGTAGGTTGCCTATTCACTCTGATGATAATTTCTATTGTTGTGCAGAACATCTTTAGTTTAATTAGATCCTATTTGTCAATTTTGGTTTTTGTTACCATTGCTTTTGGTGTTTTAGTAGTAAAGTCTTTGCCTATGCCTATGTCCTGAATGCTATTGCCTAGGTTTTCTTCTAGGGTTTTTTGGTTTTAGGTCTTACGTTTAAGTCTTTAATCCACCTTGAGTTAATTTTTTGTATAAGGTGTAAGGAAGGAGTTCAGTTTCAGTTTTCTGCATATGGCTAGCCAGTTTTCCCAACACCATTTATTAAATAGGAAATCCTTTCCCGTTGCTTGTTTTTGTCAGGTTTGCCAAAGATCAGATGGTTGTAGATGTGTGGCATTATTTCTGAGGACTCTGTTCTGTTCCACTGGTCTATATCTCTGTTTTGGTGCCAGTACCATGCTGTTTTGATTACTGTAGCCTTGCATATAGTTTGAAGTCAGGTAGCATGATGCCTCCAGCCTTGTTCTTTTTTGCTTAAGATTGTCTTGGCTATACGGGCTCTTTTTTTGTTCTATATGAAATTTAAAGTAGCTTTTTTTTATAATTCTATGAAGAAAAGTTAATGGCAGCTTGATGAGGGTAGCATTGAATCTATAAATTACTTTGAACAGTATGGCCATTTTCATGATATTGATTCTTCCTATCCATGAGCATGGAATGTTTTTCCATTTGTTTGTGTCCTCTCTTATTTCCTTGAGTAGTGGTTCATAGTTCTCCTTGAAGGAGTCCTTCACATCCCTTTAAGTTGTATTCCTAGGTATTTTATTCTCTTTGTAGTGGTTATGAATGGGAGTTCATTCATCATTTGGCTAGCAGTATGTGCCAAAAACTTCCCAGGTGATCCTGTGTGTGGACAGGCTAGAAAAATCACTGTTTTAGACATGTTCACTTAAATTGTAGTAATTGGCTTCAGACCAACTGGTATCTACAAAATATAGTAGATTTCTATACCTAGATCCTAGGGGTTTTTTTTTTTAAATTAAGTTCGTTAATTGATCCAAACACTTAGCATGTGCTTATATTTCTTATTTTCTCTCTCCCTTCCCCCCTTTCACAAACACACACACACACACACACACACACACACACGAACAATTGATAAAGTGATGAAGTGAAAGATCACTAATAGCCATCTTTTTTAGGAAGTTCCTTCTTATAATATCTAAAATCTTAACTTTTACCTAAGATTTTTTTAGTAACCAAAACTCTGGATACATTTTAAGTAGATGTGAACAAAATAACATATAAATGTTATAAATAAAAAAAAATCGATTTTTTTTGAAGTCTCCTTTTAAAAAAAAAAGCCTTGCCAGGCGCGGTGGCTCAGCCTGTAATCCCAGCACTTTGGGAGGCCGAGGCGGGTGGATCAGGAGGTCAAGAGATCGAGACCATCCTGGTCAACATGGTGAAACCCCGTCTCTACTAAAAATACAAAAAAATTAGCTGGGCATGGTGGCACGTGCCTGTAATCCCAGCTACTCAGGAGGCTGAGGCAGGAGAATTGCCTGAACCCAGGAGGCAGAGGTTGCGGTGAGCCGAGATCACGCCATTGCACTCCAGCCTGGGTAACAAGAGCGAAACTCCGTCTCAAAAAAAAAAAAAGCCTTTCTTATGACATTGGCAAAGCTACTAACATATCTATAAAGTGTTGAAAATATAGGGAGGTTTAAGAATAGGTTAAATCATATGAAACTGCTGGCATGCAATCCATGTTTAAACCATGACTCAGTGATTTTATATGGTTCAGTATAAGAAGAAATCTAATCTCTCACTTCCATTTTAATTTTCATAATCTATATTTGCTTGAGGAAACCCTGCTACATTATGAAATTACAGTGACATTTATTATAATGACAGTTACTGGATTTCTAACAGAAAGAATTAACTGAAACAAAAAGTTGAAAATATAATGTCATGAATTTTCTCTGTTATGGATTATTCTTTTTATATTTTCTAAACAAAGTGTTGTTTTATGTGTGTTCTGCCATCCTAGTCAAGGACCTAATATTGGAAAAGCTAAGACAGAAGAAAAGGACCTTAAGAAGCTAAAAAAGCTGGAAAAAGAAGAAAAAGACTTCAGGAAAAAATTTAAAGTATGTCATATCTAAATATTACATAAAGTACAAAGCACTATTGAAAAATCTGATTATTTTTAAGTGCCAAAATGCACACTTTAAAGTATAATTATCAATACTACAGTTAGCAATTATAACTCTTTTACTTTGTACAAAATTTATTTTAGATTTAAATTTATTTTTTAAAACATTAAGCAAACTATAATACATACACAGTATTCATACTGTGATAATCATCTAAATTAAGCTGTCCTTTGAACCTTAATAAGAAGGTACTAAAAATAGTTGTTATATTGGGTATGTGAGGTTATGAATGATGTCTGTCCCTCAAAATTTTCTTTAATATTCTTACATTATATTTAGAAAACACTGCATTATTTCTTTAGCAAATACCTATTTAATAAATCCGTCAATACATAAGTTGTTTTAATAATGCACATAAACCAATAATTTAAATATTGTTCTTTTTTTTTTAGTATGATGGTGAAATTAGAGTTTTATATTCAACTAAAGTTACATCTTCCATAACTTCTAAAAAGTGGGGAACCAGAGATCTACAGGTAAAACCTGGTGACTCTCTAGAAGTTATACAAAACACAGATGATACAAAAGTTCTCTGCAGAAATGAAGAAGGGAAATGTAAGTCATTACTTGTACTGTAATATATACATGTCACTCCAGAATTTAACAACCAAACAAATTTCAGTGACTACTCTGTTTACTAACTCTTATCTTTTTGCTTTATCCTTTGTAAATTGTGGCAAATGTTAAAAAGTTGATCATTTTGGCCAGGCGCGGTGGCTCAATCCTGTAATCCCAGCACTTTGGGAGGCCGAGGCGGGTGGATCACGAGGTCAAGAGATCGAGACCATCCTGGTCAACATGGTGAAACCCCGTCTCTACTAAAAATACAAAAAATTAGCTGGGTGTGGTGGCGTGTGCCTGTAATCCCGGCTACTCAGGAGGCTGAGGCGGGAGAATTGCCTGAACCCAGGAGGCGGAGGTTGCGGTGAGCCGAGATCGTGCCATTGCACTCCAGCCTGGGTAACAAGAGTGAAACTCTGCCTAAAAAAAAAAAAAAAAAAAAAAAAAAAAAAAAAGTTGGTCATTTTGCTGTACTGAAATCAATATATTTTAATCTCTTTTCATTTACTATCTACTATCTATATACTCTGGTGTCAAAGATAACGCCAAATTACTGCTTCTCAAAATGCAGTCCTATAGACCATCAGCATCAGAAAGCCCTTGTGTGTTTATTAAAATCGCAGTTTCCTGGACTCACCCTTGACTTGCTGAATCTTGAGTTCTAGAAATGAGGTAAAAACAGTGATCATAACTTTTCTCTAGCTTGTTCATGTGTTCTGACACTAAAATGAGAACCGCTGTGCTAAAGTAGACAGTGTCTCTTGCTCTGACCTGGTTTTAAAATTATGTTGAATTTCGAATTATATAGAATTGTATAGAATTCTGTTGCAAATTCACTTGTTTTCGTTTCCTATTTGAACACACTTAGTGCAACATGATATTCCAAATAAATCCAAAAAAGCTCCCATCTCCTTTGACTTTATCAGGTATTAAAGCTGACAGATGGGGGCCAGGTGTGGTGGCTCTTACCTGTAATCCCAGCACCTTGGGAGGTTGTGGCAGGATGATTGCTTGATCTCAGGAGTTTGAGATCAGCCTGGGCAACATAGCGAGAGCTAGACTTTACTAAAAATCAAAGATAAATTAGACAGATGTAGTGGTGTGCGCCTGTAGTCCCAGCTACTTGGGAAGCTAAGGCAGAAAAAACATCACTTGAACTGAGGAGTTCCAAGATGCAATGAACCATGATCACACTGCTGCACTCCAGCTGGGGCAACAGAGCAAGACCCTGACTCAAGAAACAAACAAACAAAAAAAAAAATGGAAAATAAAAGAAAGCTGACAGATGGAAATATTTCTGTCAAATTTCAAAAGAAAGCTTATTTAAAGTCAAGAGAAGAGTAATTCAAAATTACATGGTCTTTTATTTGAAATTGGATAGCCACCACAGCTGCCCCATATCAGCTTGGTCAATCTGCATGGAAAACATGGACTCTGAGTTTAATTTTAATGGGAGGAAGGTGACTCAGGGACAGAAATTGAAATGGAGTTTCAAGAATAAAACACAGTGACTCAAGGGTGGAGGAAATGATGTAAAGTTTATCACGGAGGAGGTGTGGTTGGCTTTTCAAAGGAAAATGAGGAATGTGGGTATGAAAGATAAAGGGCAAGGGCAGTGTAATATTAAGATTGTAAGTTCACTGAAGATAACATGTAGAAAGATCCCCAGGAAACAAAGAAAACCCCCATTCAGACTAGGATTTGCACGGCTCTACCTTAAGGAACATCCCTAGTGCAAACAGAACTATAAGCATCAAAAGTTCATCAAAAAATATTTAGAAGTTCGAAGATTTTTAAATTATTAAATGCTATGATGAATATAGTCAATTGAATATTCTAAATAATAATTATGATAATAATGCGCTGGATCTCTCATGACATATGGTAGAAAAAGTAAGAAAGCTATTTAATTTGGGGTAGGATTTATAGCCATGTTACAAAAATCATAGAAATAAGAGAAACCAAACTAAAAGAAATTAAATACTACAATAGAAATCAGGCTCCAAAGGGTGTTGAGTCTAAATGATGTGTTTTCTGTCCTCCACTTTGCAAATAATTTCACATTTTTTACAACAGAGGATTGTCCTAGTATTAGTCATATAGACCTCTCTCCAGGGCACAAGCTATCAGCTTGTACATATCTTGGCACCTACTATACTAAGAAGTATAGTAGAAGAAAATCTTGCCATAGTGACCTAAGTTTCCTATCCTTAGCAGCAAATCTTATCTAAAGCAATGCTCCTCCAACTTTGAGGTGCATACACGTCAATGGGGATCTTGTTGAAAATGCAGAAGTGAAGCCTGGCATTCTTTTTTTGTTTGTTTATTTTTTCCACCTTGCATTTGTAAAAATGACATGACATTCTAGTTAATCAAGCTCGCAGGTAATTGATGCTGCTGGTCCTTGGATCAGCATGGATCCTCACATATCCTGAGTAACAAGATTGTAATGATCTCCTCAACAACCATGAATGGATATAGATGGACAGGAATAGTTATGGAACCAGTAAGATAAACTCAAAGAGACTCCTATCTTCCTAGGAACCAGCGAACCTTAAGAATAAGTAGCCATTCAGAATAACTGCATAATCTACTATCATTTTCTATTGGAACATCAATAATTCTAAGTACTATTACAAATACTAGAGGTCTCCTGTCCTCTTACAATGTGTCATCTTCTAAGAATGAGGTGAAATGTTTCATAAACTTCTGATAGATTATAATCAAGAGTTTCATGTAAATATCTTTTTCCTTTCTGCTGCAGTACCAGTGCACTTTACAGTTTCTCAGTTCATGGTTAACTACCTAAATTCTTAGATGGGTTTGGGGTACATCTCAGACAGGATGGAAACCACATGATTATATGGCAGCACCTACCTGTTGCTTTTTATGTAAAGATTTCCTTTGGGCTGGTTTTGTCTTTGTTTGGCTTCCCCATAAAGGGAGTGATTCTGGAAAAATGCCAGTGGCAAGTGGAGAAATGAGATAGGGAAGCGAAGGCAGCCAATAAAATCTTATTGCCAAAAAAGTTACCACTTGGATTATTGGAGCCTGATCCTGCTCTAGACCCCCAAGTGTCAGTGTTATCCCATCCAGGGGGAAACAAAATGGGGTATTTTTACACCAACTCCTGTCCTTCAGGAGCTGAAGCCTATTCCTGGGCAGGTATGGAGGAACACAGGATACTCAGTAAGCTGACAGAGTTCCAGAAGCCAGAGAAAAGCCATCAGTGAAAAAATGTTTAAACTAAGTACTGTCAGTTGCAAGTACCCACGTGGTAAGGGTGCGAGTGTAAAAGAGAGGCACTAGGACCATCTGTTACTGGCTTTCAGGTGAAGTATTATTCCAAGATTTAATCACCTTATCTGCTTAATTTCATTTGTGTTTTTCCTAACCTCCTGCCTTTCTTAATTTTTACAAACCTGCTTGCTCCTTCCACGGACTGGGTCCTTGACATTCTTAATTTTTAAAAATAGTTAATTCATTCTTCGCACACCTCTGTAAGATTATTGTAGGGTTTTAACCCTCCCTCTCCCAGATGATTGCAATAGCCTTTCTAATGACATTTCTATCTTTGCCCTTATACTCAGAATCCACTTCTCCACACTGTTACCCAAATATTATTTTTTTTAAATATAGAATTTAAGCTAGCACATAAAACTCTTTATGATCTAGCCTCACCCTCACCCACTGCTATTTTCCATCTACAACTGACACTTCAGAAATACAAACTATTTACTTATTCCCTGAATAAATTAGGTGTTTTGGCTGGGCATCGTAGCTCACACCTGTAATCCTAGCACTTTGAGAGGCTGAGGTGAGCAAATCACTTTAGTCAGGAGTTTGAGATCAGCCTGGCCAACATGGCGAAACCCCATCTCTACTAAAAGTACAAAAGTTAGCCGAGCACAGTGGCACACGCCTGTAATCCCAGCTACTCAGGAGGCTAAGGCAGGAGAATCACTTGAACCCAGAAGGCAGAGGTTGCAGTGAGCCGAGGTTGCGCCACTGCACTCCAGCCTGGTGGTAGAGTGAAATTCCGTCTCAAAAAAAAAAAAATCTGTATTTCATCCTACTATGCTATTTTATTCAACTTGGAATGCCCGTGATTCTCTATTAAAAACAACTTAGTTGTCATCTAAAATTAGAAGCACCTCCTGTCCCTACTCCCAGCCACATCATCACAATTAATCTCTCCCCAACTCTACCATATTTCTTTTGCTGCTGTCATTGTCATTATTGTTTTACCAATCTATTACTCTTATTAGACTCCAAGCTTCAGAGTCACTTCAACGAAATATTCTCAACATTGTATTGTCAACACATTACACAGTGCCTTGCACCTTGCGCAGGGCTTGCTGGGTTGAATGAAACAATTTGGAAATTGGCTTTGCGTTTGTAAACCAGCACCATGGTGAAACTAACATTATCCTTAGCCTCCATTCTTCTTTAATCCATCAAAAAAGAAAAGCACAGCTTACTTCAACCTGAAGTTCATAATGATAGCAATTAAAGGCTAAAGCATGAACAACAATCCCTTGCCATTACAGAGTGGGGACATAAGCCACTTTTACAGGCATTATCACATTCAATCAAGTCTCACCCACTGACTTGTGTGGGTGTTGACATCTTAACTATAAATTTCTGGCACGTTTCCAAATGTTTAGAATTTCTCACTAATATGTATGCATATTCCACAACTCTATGTCTCATAAGCTGTGAGTTTTCCCACCTCCTGTCACTGAAAAAAATTTCTACAAAAAATGTAGAATGAGACACTTTTTGTCTGAGTTATTTGTGGCCAAAACACTTTCCATTTTCTTTAGGCATCAAAGATGAAGGGATTTTAAAGGTGCTTTTGATCTTCCCAAATCTAATTGATCATTTTTTTAACTTGCATATTTTTTTTTCAATTTTAAAACAACACATGCTCACTGAAGGAAAATTTTTAAAATTTAGAAAGTTAAAATGTCATCCAAATAGGAAACTGCAGAAATAACAACAGAGACAGAGAAGAAAGAGGGTAAGAGTGACCACTTTTATAAAACTAGGATAATAATGTATATTCAGTATTATACACACTTTGTTTTTTCTTTTTATTATATTATGAGTATTTTGCATTGAAATTGGACATTGTTCCACTTGCCTAGGTAAATCTGTACCATATGATTTTATTGTTTTTAAACTGCATGAGACCAAATTGAGTACATTTAACTTTATTTCTGGATTTACTCACAACAAATAAAATAACGATGAAATATTACGTTGTCATTTTTATTAAGTAAAAATTTGAGAATATTAGAATGAAGGTAATTTCCACTTTTCCAAAGATTGTTTTCTATTTCCTTAGTTAATCTGTATTCACAATACCCTTCTAAAAGGTAGTCATTAGTCCTGAGACACATCTGCACTGTAGCAAGCAAATGTTTGGGGAAGAAATTAACTGGCACATGTGCGGGGTAGGTGTTAGCTCTACCCCACCACATATTTCACATTTGTTTCAAGCCATTATGTTCTGCTGTATGAATCTGAGGTTTCCAATAATAATTTCATACAATATGTGAGAATCCCTGGTGTGCCAGCACTCACAATACCACAGGGCTAAACATAGCCACCATGCTGCATGGTACAGACCATGATGAGATTTTTGTTGTTGTTGTTGATTTCATGTGTTTATATTTTTCACTAATATTCCCTGTAATAAATGTACACACATAACATGAACAAAGAGATTATCCTACTGCAAAAAAGATATGTATTTCTTTTCACCATGGCATTTGTATGCCCGTGTAACAATACTGCACAATCTGCACATGTACCCCAGGACTTAAAGTATAATAAAAAAAAGAAAAAAGAATGTACAGAAAAATAAAATAAAAGTACCGATCAAAGTGAATATATGTGTGTGTGTGTGTGTATATATATATATATATATATATATATATATATATATATATGACTGATAATGGAGAGATTATTTAAAAATTTATAGGCCGGGCGCGGTGGCTCAAGCCTGTAATCCCAGCACTTTGGGAGGCCGAGGCGGGTGGATCACAAGGTCGAGAGATCGAGACCAACCTGGTCAACATGGTGAAACCCCGTCTCTACTAAAAATACAAAAAATTAGCTGGGCATGGTGGCGCGTGCCTATAATCCCAGCTACTCAGGAGGCTGAGGCAGGAGAATTGCCTGAACCCGGGAGGCGGAGGTTGCGGTGAGCCGAGATCGCACCATTGCACTCCAGCCTGGGTAACAAGAGCGAAACTCCGTCTCAAAAAAAAAAAAAAAAAAAAAAAAAAAAAATTTATGGTAAGTCACTTATTTTGACACTGTCATAAATCATGCTTTTAATAGAATGAAGTTTTAGCTGAGATTTTTAAAGGTACCAGACAGCAAAGCCTGTACTGTATTAAACGTCATTTACCGTGTAAAATGCTACATAATAGCGATTTTATAGCTAACAAGCCCCATGTTATCACATTATTTCTGCAGCATGGTACCATCTCACATTCTGTCTCCCTAATACATTTTTCATAAATAGTCTCAATTATTGATGTTTATGTATTTCACACACACACACACACACACACACACACACACAACAATAGCAACAAAGTGTTCAGCACAGGAGAAGGCTGTTCCTTAGAACTTGTGAACACACAGATACAGGAGGGAATGAAAATACAGGTTCAGAATCTAAGAAATATGTTTTTTAGAAGTAATTTGTAAAGCTGAGGTATTAAGTTGTATACCATGAATGATGAACTTTGGTCATGTAAAGGATTGTTTTAGCTCTCTTGACATTTAGTGTTTTATCCAAGCCTGCAAAATTGTAGCATAAATGAGTTTTTAAAAATAGATTACTTCAAAGTATAAGCAAATAAAAATCTTTAATTTCTAAAATGGTGATTACATTCTCTGTTTTGAACTTTATGCTTGGCGCCAGTATGGCTTCAGTCTCTAACAACTGTTTATAATTCTTATGTATTTCTCTAATTTATCTTCCAATTTCATCTCAGAGACTTTATGAAGCCCTAACAAATCATATACATCGTTTTTAAATTATTAACATCAACATGAGTATGTAATGGGAACATTTACTCTCATGTTATTTTCCAATTTGTTTTAGCAAAAAATCCAAAAAGAAAGCAGAACCCCCAATTTTGACTGATAAAAAAGTATGTGGCTGTTACTATTTGTAGAAAACTGTTCAAATTTTAGTGTAGCTGTAAGTATAGATACAGATAGTAGTTATTTCAGGTATGAGGACCCTGATATAAATATCCACAAATTGTTCTAAAAGCTTGTTATTTGCACACACAGATTTTTGTCTTCTGAGAGACACATGTAGAATTGAATTTGTTGGATATGAGCTTATCCCTTTTTTAAAAGTTATATTAAATTATACCTTGTTTAAAAAGAAAGTCTGTTAATATGAAATGAACTGTGATATCAAAGCCTACCCACAGACTATAGATATTAATTGTAGATGGTCTTACATTAATACTTTTTGCTACCTTTGCATTAATTGAAATAAAAAGGAAGGTACAACATGTTCTATTTTTTTATACTCCAAGTAATATATTATGTTATTGTGCTTTTATTATATTGACACTTTTTTCATTACTTTCCTACTACAAAAATTCAAAGGTAACTTTGATTCTTTCTATTTCAAAAATGATACATATAAATCGTTTTTATTAAAAAGTGGTGAACTTCTTGATAAAATATTTTGTGGAGTTTTTTTAACCCTATAATACTTCAAGAGAAAGTTCATTTTCTTAAATGTTAACATATAAATTCAGTTTTATGGGCCGGGTGCAGTGGCTCAAGCCTGTAATCCCAGCACTTTGGGAGGCCGAGGCGGGTGGATCACAAGGTCAAGAGATCGAGACCATCCTGGTCAACATGGTGAAACCTTGTCTCTACTAAAAATACAAAAAAGTAGCTGGGCATGGTGGCACAGTCCTGTAATCCGAGCTACTCAGGAGGCTGAGGCAGGAGAATTGCCTGAACCCAGGAGGCAGAGGTTGCGGTGAGCCGAGACCGCACCATTGCATTCCCATCTGGGTAACAAGTGAAACTCCGTCTCAAAAAAAAAAAAAAAAATTCAGTTTTATGATTCTAACTTTAAAAAAATTTTTCATGTTTAATCAATAGCAATACGACATCAATACATTTAAGTAAGTTTATCACTTGTATTATTAATTTTGGTTATGAGCTTTCTCTTTATAATTTTTTAACGTATTTACTTTGATTTAGAACCGAAGTTAGATCTAAAGTGGACCACAACCAATAGATTGACTCACTGAGAGAAATTATTTAGGGATTGTATTGAAGAAGCAACAAATGGTACTAATTTCAAGCATACAACAGATTTTAGGCACTAACACAAAACTAATTTTTCCAAATATTAGTAATATTAATTAGATATCAGCAGACATTTTCCTAAGAAAAATAGTTTATATTTTTCCTGAGAAACATTTGCACAATCAGGGGCAAATATAGGTGCCCCTTATACAACAACAACAACAGAACTTAGTTTTATTGCATCAAATATGGTTTATTTTCTACTTGACCAGTCATCATAGAATCTATAGTATGTGCCCTTCTAATAAAGCTTTTTGCTCCATGAGCGATGAAATGCAAATGTCGATACTGTTCAATATCAAAGCAATATAGGAATTTCTTCCTCTGCTGAAAGAGAGCCGTTTTGAGACTATTTACAACGCATAGTCCCCCTAATAGTCAATAGCTGGCTGGCATCTGAAAGGGGAGTTGAATAGAGTTCTATCTCTGCTCAATATAAGAAAAATTTTTTAAGTAAGTCTTAGATCTGGTAGTATTTAAAATATTTACCAGTAAGCTACTTTTATAATCTCTGCTTACTAAATTCTTCCTAAAACTGGATCATGAGGGGGGTAACATATTGAAGAAATAGATTAAAAATTGAAAGAACTCTGTGCTACAGCCTACAGTAGCTTAATGAAAAGTTTTTTTATTTAAAGTGAAGGGAGAAAATATGAAATGGGAGAAAAAAAGAGACATATTGGAGAAAGAGAAAAGTTAGAGAGAAAGGGGAAAAAAAGGAAGCACACAAAAGTAGACACAAGGAAGAAAAATGGGTCATTTCCAGAGATAGATACAATTATTTAGTGTGCTATATTATGATTACTCTCATGTTTTGATTTCCTGAAAGAAATAGTAAACATTTTTCAAACCTGTATTATTAATAAAATGTATTTTCTTTATTCTTCATAGATGGCTATGTCCTTCGGAGTTATCTAGTGGACAAGTAAGCCCATTTTCTTTTACTACTACGCATGTGAAAAGAATTTTGTGCCTTTCTTTGAAAAAGATTTCTAATCTTATTTGAATAACATAACCTAAACTATCATAAATAAATTTAAAAACAATATGCTATACTAATGTTAACATGTTAGTATCTGTAATAAAGTTAAGGTTTTCATAAAGTCCTACTCTTTTAAATAGGCAAGAAGCCCTTCTCATTTAAAATTACACAGCTCATAGTTAATAGTTTTCTATATTCATTAGGCTCTCAGCAAACACTGAAGACAGACAGGTCAAAGCCAGTAACCTTTTCATTAATACTTTGTATTTTACTTGCTAATGCAATTGGTTGAATGCAATTAATTTGGGACCAATTATTGAGTTCACTGTAGGTACTAATATCACCTGTTAACAGTTCATAGTTTAGCCCTTAATTAAAGGCTTTACTTCACTCACACTAGTCATAGTAGAGTACTATGTTGCCTTTTTTGGAAGCATGCCAGAAAAAAAGATAATAGTCAATGATTCTTCTATTCTTATGAATAAGACATTGTCACAGTCTGTCACAGTCTGGTACTAGTGTGTCTCTGGAGTCCCCCAAAACATGATGAGATTCTGTTCCAAGTAACCCATTGCAAGAAATGAACTCCATTGTCAGGTTAGGTAACATGCCAATGCAAAGATTTACAGAATTCAGCTCAATGAAAAGATCCAGGAGGAGTCACAAATTGTATATCCATCACAGCCTGACACCAATCAGAAAAAGACAAATCAGTGTGAAGAGATTTGTTGGCAAACTAGTGGAGGCCAAAGAAAAATAATCAATACCTTTGTTCTCAGCACATTAATCAAGTGGGAGGCATGAAACTTTCAATAGGTTTTGTTCTATGAAAGATACAAAGTTTAAGGACAGAATGTGTAGCAAATAATAGGACAACATCTTCACCAGTGATTATTACAGGCTGATTGAGAGAATTTAGGAAGGACACTGTAGTAATTGTTGGTTCACCACCTATTGAAGCGAATACTTAATAAATGTTTATCCTGTAAATGACAGAAAAATCTGTCCTTGTTGCATTTGGATGAGATTTCCATTAGCCAAACCCTCCCTCCTTCCATCTCAGCGAAAAGATCCAAACAGAAGACATAGGGAGCTCACAACATCTGCCATACTTGGCAGCAGTTTGAAGGGCCTGCTGCTGCTTCCATGATAAAGCACAGAGATTGTACAGCGAAGAGTTGGTCTGGTCTAAGAGACAAAGCCACCCTACATTTCTGAACTTTAGAAGTATATCTTACATTTCAAGGGAATGTTCATGTTTATAATACTCTCGATTTTTATTTCTTATAAAATCTCCTGTTTGATTATAAGGTACTTAAAAGCAAAGCTTGTCTCTTACTCCTATTTATGTCTCCTGGTACATAGAAGGGACTCAGTATGTGTGTTGGATGGAAAATATCACAAAGATTAAGAGCCAGGCAAAACCTAAAATGTGTAAAAGTAGCAAAACTGCTATTATGGATACTGTCTACAATAATAAGTAATAGTTTTAAAATTACGTAAGAGTCACCATAATAATCATATCTTGGCTACACATTCTGTAACTAGTATTTATATATTTTATCATATGTATGAGTTATAATTAGAAATGTGAAAATGATGAGCCATTTCCTATGCCAATTATTGTTGTATTTCATTCACCATTTGCAATTCAAGTGAAAGTATGAATCTGATATTAACAGATACTGCGGCTTTGAATTAAAGCCCACAATGGGAGTATTACATCATGATGTTCAGTACATTGTTAACAAACATGTCTTGCAAAGATGAGTAAGGCATAGTCTGTGCTCTTGAAGCACCTTTAATTATTCTGCATGTAAAATAAAACAGAGGATTAGATTAAGTCAATGAAAGAAGAGATAATACCAAATTTGTTTATACTTATAAATGCATACTATGCTTAACAAGCCTTAAATTGTGTTATATAAAATCATACTGTATATAAAATCATCTTTTCTTCTATGTATTGCTCTAATGCTAAGAAGATAGTTTCATTAAGATAAAAATTATTTTTTACATTTACAGTGATGGAGAGATCTATGATGATATTGCTGATGGTAAGTCTTATATAATACCACCACAGAGAACAGTAACAGTGAATTTTCTGTTTTTGCAAATACTAAAAATAACTTGTTGGATTAGAGACTTCCAATGTGATCAGAATTTGAATCACTTGAAAATAGAAAAGGTAAGCGCCCTGGCGTAATGGGGGGAAAATATCACATTTCCCACAAGATGGGAAATTAAGGGAAAACCTCATTTATTTTCTTTGAGAACAGAAGTATAAAAATAATTGGTAAATTTTTCATTCTACTATGAATCATAATAATTTCTTATCCAAATAAATATTTTTCGCAAATAAAGAGGTACCTATTTCATAACCAGTAATGCTAATATTCTCTAAGCATCATAGAGTTTCAAACTGTAATCTAAAAAATTAATCTAGTTGAAATGGTGCATAGCATTGACCATGATGCCCTTTAGTCTTTTAAACTTATAATTCTTGCTTGCTCTTTAATATCTTCAACCTCATTCAGAGTGACTACCAAAAAGTATGTCTGATTAAGTGCCACATAAAATAATCTTGAGTCTTGTTTTAATAGAGAATAAATCCATTCAGATGTTTTGTTGGAATTATATACTAAATTTTAAAAAGTTAAATATATGGCCTTCCATTTAACTCATTTTTTATAAAGTGAGCCAGTTTTGTTTTTTTTTTTCAATCCTTAGCCAGGGGAGGATGAACCACTCATATTTTCAAATTTGGAATACTTAGTATGTTTTTTATAACAATATTTAAATTTGTACTTTTTTCTTTCAGGTTGTATATATGACAATGACTAGCACTCAACTTTGGTCATTCTGCTGTGTTCATTAGGTGCCACTATGAAGTCTGAATTTTAATTGGCATGTTATTGGGTATCAAGGAAATTAATGCACAAAACCACTTATTATCATTTGTTATGAAATCCCAATTATCTTTACAAAGTTTTAAAATTTTGAGCATAGAAAATGATCTTTCTGCTTAATTGCTATCTCAGAAGACTAGATTAGTGAGATGTAAGAATTATTAAATATCCCATTTCTCCTTTGGCTACAATTATGAAGAATTTGAAGATACTTCTTTTAGACCACCAATAAGTAATCCTCCTTCAAGAAATAAAAAGAAAAGAAAAAGGAAAATCATTCAAGAAGAAATGATCTGTCTAAAAATCCTAAGGAAGAATAATAATATACAGAAGGAAATTTTAAAACATTCCACAAAAGAAAAATTATTGTTTCTACTTCTAATTATGATTATGTCTTATATTCTCTATTCAAATGACCTGCCTTTTTAAAAAGCAGCGCTGTTTTTTCTCTTGCTTGTGTGTTAAATGTTTTAAAAAAATTATAGCAGTAGTAGAATTTTTGTATAAAATTTGCCCCTATTTGGTAATTGTATATATATGTTAATTATTTGATATGAATGTTAGGCATTTAGTGTGCACATTGAAATCTAAACTTTAGAAGAGTCTGAAACAAGTTCTCTTTTTGGAGATTCACATGCTAATGGTTTAATTCTATGCTCTGTTTAAAGTACTATTATAACTAGAGTAGATCTGAATGAGGGCAATCCTAAAATTATGAGGAGTGGAAGAATGGACCTTGAAACTAACTAGGCTTTTATGGCACAGCACCTTTTTATAATGAAGACACTTTTTAACGTTTTTGTTTCAATTACTGCTACATTTTTTTTCTTTATTTTCTTTCTTTCTTTTTTTTTTTTTTTTTTTTTGGTGGGGGGTGGGGGGATGGAGTCTCACTCTGTTGCCCAGGCTGGAGGGCAGTGATGCAATCTCAGCTCACTGCAACCTCTGGCTTCCAGGTTCAAGTGATTCTCCTGCCTCAGCCTCCTGAGTGGCTAGGACTATAGGCACCTATGACCATGCCCAGCTAATTTTTTTCTATTTTTAGTAGAGACAGGTTTTCACCCCTTAGCCAGGATGGTCTCGATCTCCTGGCCTCATGATCCACCCACGTCAGCCTCCGAATTTTTCTTTCTTTAAAAAAAAAATTTTACTGGAAAGTTGGCCAGCAGAGGAAGTAGAAATTATTAAAACTCTGGTATTTGGATTGGGCCATTCCCTATCAGGAGTTACTCATTTCCAAAGCAATCCAAAAATAAAATGTGAAGCATTTGGGTTTCAAATGCTAAGAACACTAAATAGCATGATTTAAAGAATGGAAAACCCTAACACCCAAGAAAATAATACATTAAGTAACTTTTTAACAACTTCTAAAGTACAAAATGAGCAAATCCTAATGCTGGCTCTTCCACTAATGAACCAGGATGTGATATTGAATAAGTTATTTATCATCTCAGTCTTCTCATCTGTAAATTACAAGATTAGACTAAGTAAGTTTTTCCAACTCTTCACTACCAATTATCTTAGGCTTTTATAATGTTCCCTCTAATTTAGTCCCATGTTTCAGAAGCTTTTGCCTGTTTTTTAAACTCATTGATTAAATAATGATTAATGCATTCTCCACATTTTAATATTGCAAAGGCCCATTGGACTTTCTGAAGCAGCCCCACAGAACTGAAATAATTTCAAATAACTGTAAAGGAACTGAAAATCTTTACAGAAATGAAGTGGGATTTCTATTAGGTACTTTGAAATTTGATAATAAACCATCAACTTCCACTGGTAAATATATATATATTGGGTGTCTGAGGCCCCCCAGATTAGAAGCCACTAATCTCCAAAGATTCTCTCCAATTATGAAATACTTTGATGTCTACTTTTAGATAGTGTTAGTCAGTGTATGACCATATAATGAACTTCTTTTCATACTAGATGAAATTACCTGGTTCAAAAGTGGTTCTGTTTATTAAAGTTGGTAGTAAATGTATATATAATACACAGACAGGATAGTTTTTCTGCTGAAGTTTTTGGCCAGCTCTAGTTTGAGGACACCCTAATAACCTTGCAAAACCTTCAGAGTGCTCTGAAACACTTCCAACCATCCTTCCTCCTACCTTCGATGGGGCAGACTCACATTGCAGTCTGCCAGTAATTTTTTTTCTGATTGAGGATTACAGAAATTCAATACTCTGCCAGTTTTTAAAAGTTGAAGTTAGATCAAGATAATATTTCAGAGTTTTGGTTTATACATCAAGAAAACAGACACACGTACCTAGGAAAGATTTATATAATAGATAATCATCTTAATGTGAAAGATATATTTGAAGTATTAATTTTAATATATTAAATATGATTTCTGTTATAGTCTTATGTATGGAATTTTGTCTTTTGAGATGATCTGCAAATAAATAATACCTTCAATGGATAACCTTGCCTCCTACTTCATTAAAAAAATCAAGGCTAGCCAGGCACAGTGGCTCACGTCTGTAATCCCAGCACTTTGGGAGTCTGAGGCGGTCAGATTTCATGAGCCCAGGAGTTCCAGACTAGCCGGGACAAGATGGCAAAACCCTGCCTCTACAATAAATACAATAAATTATCTGGGTGTGGTGACACATGCCTGTAGTTCCAGCTACTTCAGAGGCTGAAGTGGGAGGATCACTGAAGCCCAGGAGGTTGAGGCTGCAATAAGCCATGATTGTGCCACTGTCTCAAAAAAAAAAAAAAAAAAAAAAAAAAAAAAAAAAAAAAAAAACTGACCCTGTCTCAAAAAAGAAGAAATATATATACATATATATATATATATGTATATATATATATATATATATATATATATTTTTTAATATTGAGGCCATTAGTCTTTTTCTCCCTTAACTTGATCCCACATCACAAAAGAGTCTTTCTCGGCATCCAGCCTTGCCTCTTTAGCTTCAGCGTCAGATGATGGGATATCTCCTCTTCAAGACCAAACCTCTTACCAGGGCTCCTAACACTTTGCCTCCTATATTGTGTCAGAAATTAAGATAACTTGGCCGGGCGCGGTGGCTCAAGCCTGTAATCCCAGCACTTTGGGAGGCCAAGGCGGGTGGATCACGAGGTCAAGAGATCGAGACCATCCTGGTCAACATGATGAAACCCCGTCTCTACTAAAAAAAAAACACAAAAAATTAGCTGGGCATGGTGGTGCGTGCTTGTAATCCCAGCTACTCAGGAGGCTGAGGCAGGAGAATTGCCTGAACCCAGGAGGCGGAGGTTGCGGTGAGCCGAGATCGCGCCATTGCACTCCAGCCTGGGTAACAAGAGCGAAACTCGGTCTCAAAAAAAAAAAAAAAAAAAAAAAGATAACTTAATGCAATTCCTTTCAGTTCCCTACAACCTTCGACCTTAACCCATATCCAGACACTGTCCCAGAGAATAAGATGTCATGCCTCAAATTCAAACCCATAAGCTTTGGATCCTATTTCTTCCTGCCTTTTCTGGAGTGTTTGTCCTTTACAATTTAATCTTTCTGATTCTCTTTCTCCCTTTCTCCCTCCCTCTCTTTATCCCTCTTCTTTATGTTCTCCCACTATACAGATTCCTTTCTCTAGGCTTACAAACATTGAAATCTTTCCCATCTAAAAAGCAGCATGGAACTTTGCCTTAGGCCGAAATACCTGTCCAGCTACAGCCCAGCTGGATTTTTTCCCCCTCATTTCATTGTCTTAAAATGACAGGGTCCATGTGGCAGCCAAGAGAATGTGCCTCAAAGACCTCCAACTATGGGGCATTTAATTGCCCAAAAGGCCCCAGCTGCTGTATTCTGAAATCCGTCACAATGTTTGTGCCAAGACCAGGCTTCCCACAGGCTGCTCTAACCAATGACTCAGTGTTGCAGGGATACTAAGGCAGGCCTGCTGCTGAAAGATACAGAACTCCTCACATGGCCAACTTCAGTTTGAGAACTCCCTCACAAGCTTGCTAAACCTGCAGAATGCTCTGAGCCACTTCTAACCATCCCGCTTCCCGCTTTTATTGGTGAAGATTTGCACAGCAGTGTGAGAGCTCATCTGGCCTTTTCCGGCTCCCTTCCCATTTCCTCTCACACATGTATTCTTCCCCACCCACATATGTATTCCTCCCCTCCCATTTTCACGCTGTCTTGGTGTCTGCTTTCCAGAGAATCCAAGCTGAACACAGGACATCTGAAGCGTTCGTAAAAAGATACATTTTTCTCTGCAGATCAACAAATAAAAGTCTCTAGGGAAAAAAAAAACTTTGTAATTCATTTTTCCTTAACTCTAAATATGAGTTTGACGCTCAGTCACATTTGAGAATCTCCCATCCCTATTCATCCTTTGCCATATGCTCAGAGTATATTCAGTCTTCAACTTACTACACCTTGATCTCTGGTATGATTACTCTGAAGTCATCTCTACGTGATACCCCACAGGTGCCTGTAACTCATGGAACTCAAAAACGAACCTCTTTCCCCTTTTAAACTAATTATCTTTCCTGGAGATTCTACCTCAGTGACATCTGAATCATCCAGTCATCCAAGCTCAAAACATGGAGGCTGCTCTCTTTCTCCGCTTTTATTCTCCATATCCAATGAAATTTCATTAAACAGAGCCCCTAGAAAACAAATGATTTTGTCTGATTTGTTTTTATATTTCTTACTTTATGTCATATTTGAAGCCCTTCATTATATATTTATTAATGAAAAAATAAATAAATGATGTGTCTGCAAGAACTGTGTGAATTCTGTGGGCTGCCACTGTAATTTTTTCTTAATTACTATTTCAGATGCCATAAGAGATTAAGTAAATTGATGACCAAGAAATGTCTGTTTGATTTACCAACATGTATGTCATTGGCCACCTTAGAAAAATTCACTGAAGCAATCAAGACCAAGCTGAGTGCATTGATGTCGCTATCAGGCTTTCTGGAAACAGATGGGATAGAGTTTGAGGAAAGAGATGTCTATTAAGGATCAGTATCTGTGAAAGGAAGGGGAGGAAGCAAAATTGGGCAGAGAAAAAGGTTGAACATGATGCAAACCCGACAAAGCTTCAGCCGACCAGACTGGGGCCTCTGGAGTAAATGCGGCCCAATACTTATCTTCCTTCAGGCCAAAATAGCCAGGCTTTGTGACTTTGCCTTGCTCATCATTATCGGTGGGTCATCCTGGAAAGGTCATGACCTGTACAAGATGACATTGCACAGTCATGAACAGTTTCCATTCTATTCTCTCCAGGAAAACACTAGGCT